AGGCAATGGGTCTTGCGCAGGGGATATCACGAAGGCTGGCAGCAAGTTGTGAGTTGGGCGTAACGTGCAAGACGGGAAAATTTCCAGATCCGCGACCAACAACCGTGACCATGACGCTGGGTCTCGCTTCTACAAATAAAGAGAATTAGACAGGGATGTCAAGGGGGCGCAGCGATGAGTCCTACCTGGGACAGGGGTAGAGGGCGTTTTCACCCTGACATCTGGCTTCTCCAAAGCTAGCGGAGGCAGTATATTTTGTGGGCCATTGGGTGTGCTGGCAGTAGCAGGCAAGGGAGCTTCCACTGTCGGGCGAGGGTTGTCGGCCCTGGAGTATGGAATATCTGCATCGCCGTCTGATAATGAGGAGTCGGATGACGAAGAGGCATCACTATGTAAAAGTTCTTCCTTATTACCACTCTCAACGTCCACGATTGTAGGCCGCAAAACAGGCCCCTGTGCATGTTTCTGCTCCTGCTGTTGCTGCTGCTGTTGCAATTGGGGTTGGGAACCCGGAGTATGTCTGTGTGGTCCCTGTGCTGCCGCTGCTGCTGCCGCCGCCGCCGCCTCTGCCACTGCTATGTCCTCAGCCGATGCTATCGGCTCCGGCTCTGGTATGGGTGTGAACTTCTGGCGCTTGGTCGGCGGCTCGTCTAACGTCTCCTGAGACATTCTGAACTGGTGGTATGTATTCCAAAAGGCAGGAGGGAGCTTGATACGTAGAATGCGGCCCGACGTAACACTATTCATGCGACTAGTAGAGCTCTCGGGAGTGCTCTCGCTGTCTATCGTAATGGTAGTAGTATCCTCAGTCGTCTCGCCTGAAGCTCCGCGTTGCATCTTGAACAGTAAAAAAAAACCCCGGTTAGTAAAGCTGTCTGCGCAACAAAGTGAGGGTTGCTAGAGAATAAGACGAGGCAGCTAGACTCTCACTCTATCGGCTCGCCTTATATCACTTCTCTGCCGGTTCTTGCGACGCTCTGCGCGCGAGTTGCCGACGCCTTGGTCAAACCGAGATCGCGACGTACCTTGGAGGCTCAACAAGCCAGCAGCATGTGGAACCCGGAAGAAAAAAAAAAAACAGATGGCACTCGACCTCGCCCCGGATCTGCCTCTCAATCCGCCTTCAGCAGCGCCAGCGAGGGCGCTCGACGTCGAAAAGAAGGCCGCAGCTGAGGCTAAAGAGCAAAAAGACGTCGAAGTTTTTGCTTCTTCGTCGATCGTTGATATTTCCTAATCGGGCGGAAGTTGAAGTTATATTAGTGTCACGTGAGCTGATGTCATATCTTGCTTATGTAATATCGAGTCGTTCCGTCGGCGACGTCGAGAAAAGGCGACAAAATAAACAGCGAAAAAAAAAAAACGAGCTGAAGATGCGAAGAAAACAAGAAGAACAACGCGGGAAGAAGCCTGAGACGGACGAGACGGCAGAGACGCAGCAAGGAAGCGCGTGCGACGGGCGAGCGAGCGGCAACAGCGGGTGCAGCTGCGATGTGCGGCGCAACCACAACAACCAACAACATCAACAATATCAACGACGACAACGAAGGACTATAGGTACGAGCCTCGATATATGAAGGATCATGGCGGAGAAGTCAGGGATTGAGGGCGCCGGGGGTGCGTCGCAGCCTCCCCCGCGCGAATTGACCCCTCTGGGCTTCAGAGACGCCGCTAAGAGCAGAGAGGATGCGCCGAAACCATCGCCAGAGACACCGCAGAGGGCGAGTCGACCGCACCTGGGGCTCTCGCTGAACATGCCACAGCCGTTTAGCCCCAAGAGCGGCCATGCAGCGGCTCGAATACCGCTGTCCCCGAAGCTAGACTCCTCACACTCGTTCGGTTCGCCGGCGTCTGTCCTGCCGCGGCGTTCTCGAGGGCTGGACTTTTCGCGCGCTTGCACCAACCTACACCACTCTACGCTGGCAGAGTCGTCTCCAGACTCGTCTCCCGTAGTCAGCGGCAGAGGGATTGCCATACCGCAACGGCGTGGGACTGCAGGAAGCACGGGGATGGGGATGGCCGGATCTCCCAGCAGTTCGCATCACCAACTGCACCATTGCCTTACCTCTGCGGGCAGCCATGCTGAGAGGTCCGCCATTTCAAGCTCGGTGGGCAGCGTCAATATGATCGACTCAGACTCGTCAAGCACCGATGACGAAGACGACGACAGGTCTATCCATGGCTTTGACCGCGGGGACCCCGGCGGAATCACCCCCCAGGCAAAAAAGTCCGGACTAGGACTATCTGCTCCATTCTCTCCCAGTTTGATCCCAGCATCCAATGCAGACTGGATGTCTGGGTTCTCCGCTGCAAAGGCGAGTTTGATGAACTTCCAGCGAGCAAGATATCGCAGCAGTAAGAAGAGACACAGCTCTTCCAGCGCGAGTGGTGCTAGTCCCAGGCTTCTTGCTACCTCCCGATCTCCACCAGCGGAGAAGGCCCTTGATAGCGTCGGTGGGAGTTCTCTGTCCCAGAGTCTAGCTTCACGAGACATCAAGTCAAAGCTAGAAGAGCTAGCTCATATTCCCTCTGACTTTCATCTATCCGACGGGAGTGACGACGTCGATGGCGGGAAACAGGCTGGCGTCAGTAGCCCATCTAGTGGTTCACTTGCCGGAGGCTCCAATTCCGAGTCTGGTCGTCGAGGCGTCATTCGACGGCCCGTGACCAGACGAGGGAATCTTTTGGTATGTCCTCGCCCTTGTTATTCTATTCTTGTGCATCTAATACCATGCTAATCATGGCTACAGCCAAAACCCAAAAACTTTGCTCGCATCAGGGGCTACCCTATTTGAAGAATGCGCGCCTGTAGAGAGCGATACCAAGAAAGAGGCAGAAGTAGTCCGCCAGGTGCGAGAAAACGATGCGTCTGGCGCTCCGCAGCCCCAATCTATCCTGCCCAATGCGTTGGAGATCAAGGACTCCACCCCTCCTAACATTGTCCCCGGGGAAGCACATCAGCGGCCGCCCACCAGCTTTAGCCGGCAGGTATCCCGCAATTCTGGTGGTATCGACTTCTGGAACGCCTTTGATGGGCGGTACAGGACCCCGCCGCCCCTCTCAGCGGGGGACTCGGCCATGGCGTCTCCAGGCATGGAAGCAGGCATGCTGGGCCGACAGTCCAAAGACATAGACACAGAACCAGAAACATTTGCCAAGATCAACAAACGACGGCGGGGAGACGACTTTGACCTGGCCTCGTTCAAGCGTCGAGCTGTTTCTCCGGGACCCAGTGTCCATAGTAGTCCTGTCCAAGGTCATGTTTCTTCCGGTTCAGATCCCAACCGGGTCGGCCACCTATCCAAGGCCATCTTGTTCCAGGGGAGCCATCCAGCCGAACCTACCGCCAACACCAGCTCCTCCTCCGGGCCTGTCAAGCGAGTCGGTCTCCAGGGCATGACCGAGACCAGCGACGGCTTCATGAAGATGACCATTGACTGATCCCCTACCCTTGCTCTCTCCATTCACTATTTTTATCTACATCTTCTGCAGCATTTCTACACATCTATACCATTTAGCGAGGCGTCTCTGTTCATCAACGGCGTTTATCTTCTCCTGTATATACTTGATAATATCCCCCTTAATCCAAATGCTATCTGTCTATCGATCTTATCAGCAGCTTATCTAATAGTTATGGCTTGGCGCGGGCTTCACCAAATAAAACAACATCGAAGCAAGCCGACGACGCGGCGCATCAACTCCATTAGTTAACAAGCAAGCAATCAATTCTAGAGACCTGTTCATTTTTTCTCTCTCCCTTTTGGCTTCTGTCGAGACGGTTTTTACTGCTCGTCTGTCTCTATAATGTCTTCTCAAGCCGAAATCGCATCCTCGTTTATAGAGGGAGCCCCGCCAGGCGAGGTACGCAAGGCATCACCATTGCAAGATAGCATGACACTAGCTAACTTATGCATTTAGCTTAGAGACGTTGTTGCTGGTGAGTCTGCATATGTGTAAAGCGGTTGATCTGGACACAATTCTAACGGCTTGTTGACACCAGATATCAAGGCATTGACCTCCAGCTCCGATCTTATCCCTTCCCTCGAACCGGCATTCAGAAAATACAACGAGGCACAGCTTGCCACAGTAAAACTGCCCGGAAGCAGTCGAGAGGTATATTTTGTAAAATATACTAGAGTGGGATCATGTTTGGATACTGATATTAGGAAGGTCATCGTTAGCTCCTATAACAAGCTCAAAGACGGCCGGTATTTTGATGTCGAGAGCCAGACATCCTTCGACTTTGACCATGTTTCACAAGTACGCTCTGTCTTACTCTTCATGAAACTCCGACATCTTCATGTTGCTGATGATAGGCCGATATAGGCAGCCTCCAACCCCCGGTCATATGTGCTTGAATCTCAGAACGCAGACCTCATGTCAGTTGACAACTGCCGCCTCCTTTGCCCCTTGCAAGCAGCCAATGCCAATGCTAACCGATCCATGCAGAAAATCCTACCTTAAACTCCTCTCCTCGCATGCCAGTGAACATTATCCAAACAGCTCATACGGCGTTTACCCTTCACAGGACGACTCTTCCATCGCAATCCTTCTAGTAGCGAACAAGTACTCTCCCAACAATTTCTGGTACGGGAAAAATACCCACACTCAACCTGATCTAGGTACTTACTTTAGTTTAGGAACGGTAGATACCGCGCCATATATAATGTGCCGGTGTCCTCTGGCGGCACAATCACCGGCACAATCCATGTGGACGTTCATTACTATGAAGATGGGAACGTTTCTCTCAACAATAAGAAGCCAGTGTCCATATCGATACCCTCGGCCTCTCCAGCCGATACTGCTTTTAAGCGTATTGTAACTAGTGAGCGAGAACATCAAGAGGAACTGAACGATGCGTTCAACCGATTAGCCGAGGGTGCATTCAAGGGCCTGCGTCGGCAGCTCCCTATTACACGACAGAAGGTCGAGTGGGAGAAGATTGGCGCATACAGGCTTGGAAAGGATATATCTGGCGGCACAGGCTACTAATAAAAATCAACTTCTTAAGCTAGAATTGACCATGTAGATAGGAAGAGTATATATGTCCATGCAACTAGGTCCGATTATAGACAGGGCACTCCGAATACGGTGTCACTATTCCGAGTCTCTATCCACGAGGCAAATAACACGACAATGTAACGAAATAAGGGAAGGGAGAGGGGGGGGAGAAAGAATGTAGTAATAATGCCCGTAACCTTTAATGCGCCTTGAGAAATAATGCAAGCAAGTATGTTCATGCATGTATGTGAGCGATCACGACTCCGACAAGATCGTCCTCTTCCACCAAAAGTCACACTCCTCCTTGGTGTAGCTGATGTTACCCATCCGGGCCACAACGCCGATACTGTTCCCGCCAGCGCGCTCATCGTTCCCTTCCCCTATCACCATGGTGCCGCTCTTTTCCCCTGGGGTAAAAGGAGCCCATCGAGGTCTGTCTGCGTATCTACCCTTGATAGCATTGGGATCTCCGGTGGTGACAAAGGAAGTAAAATAAGCATGCAAGTATCCGGCAAGCAAGTTTTGGGTCTTTGATATCTTTCGGATACCAGGGTTGTACAGCTCGTACGCAGACTGGTCTGCATGGCTTGCCCCTCCTTTGACGGTTGTGTTTACAGCCCAATGGTAAAGGAAGACAGGTGCAGATTGGCTTGCCGAGGCATGGTATGCAGTCTGTTGGATGGGACATATGTATGCATACTGGCCATATGCTGCTGTTCCACGTTTGTACTGCGAACCAACGTCTATGGGACGGGTGTCGTAGTATGGTGATTTTCGGTTGACGGCCGGATCAGGGTATAGCTTGTTGAGTTCTTTCAAATCCGACTCAGACAAGGCGGGTATCAACTCCTTGAAGAACTTGGTGAACTCCTCCGAGGTACCCAAGCGGGTAGGTGTAAATGGAGATCCCTCATCAGTGTTGAAGCCAGTAAGGATAGGGATCTCGTTCCATGTACCAGATTCCCAAGCGGATATAGGTGCTACGCGGATGATCTGGCCGTCGATAACAGGCTGGAAGGCCCACCGGTCAGAAGGATTGTAGCGGTTGAACACATCAATCGAAGCCTGCCCGACAGTCCTAACGGACTGTTTCCGGAGACAAGAAATCATTTGACCCCTAGCGACATTGGAACAGCCTGAAGCGAGAGCAAACTCGTCGAACTGCACTGAAGGTAGAGGAGCCTTGGGTGGGAAGACAGCGCGAGCGGTTGTAGCCCCGGATTCCATCAATGCTCTGTGGAAGAGTGGGCGTCCGCCATTCTTTGTATACATGACCTGGTGGCCGATCTAAGGAGCAAGCATTGGTTAGTTGCCAGATGCACTCTTTGTTATAGCTATACAAGTTCTTACCGAGTGAGCGCCGGCCGAGAGGCCCATGATAGTGACCTGGTTTGGGTCACCGCCGAACTGCTCGATGTTTTGTTGAACCCATTTGAGCAGCATGAGTTGGTCGTACAGGCCTGTGTTGAGCATGTTGGAGGCTGCCATCAGCTCTCCTGACAGGAAGCCAAATGCACCGAGACTGAATGCATGAAAATATCAGTCTGTCAGTTCCAGAAGAGACAATGCATGGACACGTACCGATAGTTGAAGTTGAGAGCAATGAACGGCTTCTCTGACCAAGCCAGAAGAGCAGCTGTGTTATGGAATCGGCCTGGTTAAGGGTCAACACTGGAGTCCATCGTAAATATAGCCACGTAAACAGAGGGCAGAAGAGCATACCTGCGCCGAGATTAAAGGCTCCTCCATGGAAATACACGACCACCGGCAGCTTCTGGCCTGCCTTGGTCCCCATGGGACGGAAGATGTTTGCGGTCAGGCAGTCTTCCCCCCAGTCATTCCCGTCGAGGGAGCCAGCAATGCATCTATCAGTCGGTCAGCCAGCATGAACAGCAACAACAACAGCAACAACAACAGCCACGACAACATGAATAAGGGCAGTACCGAAGACCATATTGAGAGGCATCTATCTTGCGCGAGGAACTCTCGACCGGCTCTGGCCTGGCAAAGCGCCTCTCGCCCGTCGGCGGGAGCGCATAGGGGACGCCCAGGAAGGCCTCCAGTGGATGCGGGAAGTCAGCATCGTCACGGATCGTGCCCAGCAGAGTTCCCTGGCGCAAGACGACGATGGGCGCCTGTCGAGCAAGCAGAAAGGAGGCTGTCAGATGCGCCCATGCCGGCAGGACGGCCGCCAGCGAGCGTTCAGAGAGGACAGACCGGCGCAGGTGTCGCAGCCAGGACGAGGACGCAGCCGAAGCTGACGCAGACGCAGACGAGGACGAGGAATATGAGGCCCCCGAGAAGACTGCGGCCAGGACGGCTCCCAGCACAAGCAGGACGAGCACTATTCTGGCCTGGCGCCGGCTGGAAAACATGGAGGCGACGATGATGCTGATGGAGCGGCTGGATGGGTAGGGAGTCTGCCGCGGATGGGCGTATCTCGCGTGCTCCATCTCGAAACAGGATCCCGGCTATTAGTCAAATATCAACAAACGTCTTGGGTTGTTTCTGTACACGACGGCACCAGGACTGCAGACTATAGGGGAGCAACCAAGGGTCAGACAACCGAGTCAACGGCGGGAGCTGCGTGCATCTTTATATATACACCATATATATATATATATACATGGCCACGGCTGCGGCCTCTGCACGACGCTGCGGACCTGCTCGCGATCTGTAGTGGTGCTGCTTCTTTCAACATCTCCAGCCCAGCAAAAGCAAAGAAGACGCAGAAAAACACAGGCAGGAGACGGGCAGCAGGCGGCTTCAGGAGCTAGACTGGCCGATACAGGTCACAATGGCCCGTTTGACCCCGGTTGCCTCCTCCTTCGGCTGACCTCTGGGGGAGGGAGGCCTCCGGGGGCGGTCAGTCCGCGAGACACCATGGGAAGAAAGACCCCAGAGAAGCAAATATACTTAAGATAGTCGACTCTCGCGTTAGCGAAGTCACCGGGACGATCATTGACCAGGAACAAACCCTGACGACCCCGATATTTGGGCCTCTCTTGCATCATGGTGCCGTTGCACTGCATGCGTGCCAGCAACATCAACAAAGGTCTGGTTACTCCTCAGGTTGGCGAAGACTCAACTCCTGCAAGCCATTCCGATATGCCATGTTTCTTGAGCCACCATGCGACGGTGGGGGAGCAGCTGTGCCTCCTCCTTTTGCGGCTGCTGCTGCTGCTGCTAACTAGCTAACTAGCTGCTGCTGCTGCTCGCATGGCGCCCCTGACACGGCTGGACGAGCCGGTCAGTCTCTTCAGCTCCTTAGCGGTCGAGGGTCGAGCTCTGGGGATGCATATCAGGTGGGACTTATAGGCCCATCTCACCCGCTTCTGCGGCTCAACTCCCCAGATCCCTCGCCCCGAAGGGATGCAACCCAAACCTAAAGGTCTGCTAAATTTGACTAGATCGGTGGTTATATTAGTGTCTGGCACGGCAGCAGCACTCGGCCAGCCTTGGATCGCCTCCGTGGGCCCAACTAGCGATATACATCAAGGGAAATCCTCCAACCACCCTAGCCGTTGATATAGCCCTCGCCTGTGCATTATTGGTTATCTTATACTCCGTATTAGTTACCCTACTACCGACTGACAATCACCTTCTCAGCTAGATAACTGCTGTTGGCTACGTAAGTCCTCCTCCTTCACTCTCTGAACTTCTTCTTACCCATCCTTGAGTATGGTAACTATTCATGCAGGTAAATGGGTCAACTGAATATAATGTAGTATTTGGCTCCATGGTCATGTGTATATATGATTTCTTGGTTCACCATTGGTACATACTCCGTATACATGTTCCACCTCACGGAGTCACGGCCTACTCGGGATGAAATCACCCTTTACCCGAACCTCGGCCGTGGCTTGGTAGACACGATCAAGTGTTTACATCTGGCAGGAGGTGTAATTATCAACGACATCGACGGTGTGGCTGTTAGATGCCCAAAAGTAAACAATACATATCATGCAACAACAGCCAACCAGTTAAGTAGCTTGTTACAGGGATATGCAGACAGCCAACTACAAGACATCGCTAAAAGGTCGCAGGCATCTGGGGAATTAATATCTCGATACCTTGACACAGCTCTGAATCAACATCCCTGACGTTGACTATCATCTCGGTTCCTACATTCGGCAGAAAATCAGAAATACTGAATGTCAGACGATAGATCGAAAAGGACAACTGTGAAGATGTCTTGTCCTCCGCTGGTGGTCTGCCACGTTCAACCAAAGCAACATGGCTGGCGACGATCTCCATGTAGCCAAACGTCATGGCATTGAAGAGACCGCGCGCTCGACATGGCTAGCATTAGGAGAAATGGCAGAAGACAAGACTCCTAACGTCAACTCCAGTGCGCAACAAAATTGGGATTTAGAGGCACTTGAGACCATAAGCCGAATATCCAGAAACATCTCCCGACGTAGATCAACAGATAGCTGATCTTCTGCAAGCTGTATAACTGTTTGGCAGACTCGAATCTGTGACTGGTGGAGTCTGCAGATTTGAAAAAGCACCAATATCGCAGTAATTGCATAACTAATAAATCGGCATGTTGTTGGTTTCCCGTGCTATCTGAGCGTTATAAGCACAAGTACCATTAAGCAGAAACGGGACGGCGGTTGTCGAGGCTCTGGGCATTACAGCAACGTCTCAGCTCGGGAAATGGGTGGAGCGCAGAATGCCTATCCATAACAGCTAGTTATGTATTCTCGTGTGATCTAGCGCGCTAGTTAATATCGATCCTGCTCTGAAGACAGCCATTCGGTCATGAGTTGGCGGCGTTACATATTTTTATACTCGGCCAAAAACTAAAAATAGAAAAAGCTGGGGCTTTCACGTGACTAATGAAGTTAGTCGAATAGGCTCGATTTCATTGACCAATCATAGAAAGCTAAATAAGCCTTCGGTTTATGGTTGGTTGAGATCCAAAGTTGGTTACATAAGCCGGGACGAACCCTAATTTCAACTTCGACTTTTTCTACTTTCAACGACGTCGCAATAATAATGACAACAACAACATCATCACCATCGTTATCAGCAGCAGCAGCAGCAAGTAACAAAAGAAGGGGAAGTGAGGAATACTGGAGTTGCGCTCCAGGATAGATCTACACTGCGAAATAGAGTCGCTGACGGTTCGGATTACAAAGACTACAAATTACAACCCAGCTATGCTAACGCCAGATCTCGGAAATCACTCTGCACCCGCCATCATGACTAAACCTGGCCATGGTCAGCAATGCATGGAGCCAGGTTACAATGGCTCTTACCCTGCGGCTCTATGCATACACACTCATCAACCCACGGTTTCAACTTCATTAGCTGTGATGGAGAATACAAAAGTCCCCGTCCCACGTCCTCGGAAAGGCTGGACATCGTGAACCTTTTTCCGCCCCCAATGCGGGTACGACAGCAAAATTTTGTACTCTAGACATCTTAGTCACCTAAAGTGGGGATCAACAATGCAAGAGGCTCTGTACGCAGGCCTCAGTCCGCCCATTACATAGGCAAAGAGATCAGAGTATTCGCCCCAGGCTCTTTTTTGGCGCTTTGTAAGCTACCTAGACTGATACCCATACTGCTAGCACTGCTGCGTTGGTCCGTCCAGCTATTGCTCATGAAACTTGTCATATATCCAATCAATATCTCGTATGATTTGCTCAGATGTTAGGATTCCGTCCGTTTATCTCGGAAATGGATATTTTCAAACAGGTTGACGCATGTATTGTCATCAGTCACCATACGTTGGATGCTAGACATGGCTTAGAGGGCATACATTTTTGCTTCGTCTATACAACAGCTAATGGAGAGCAGAGTAGAGACAGCTAACAGTGTCTTTACCCCATCATGACGTGAGCACGGCACTCCCCTCAGCTGCTCCAGCAGTCTCTGCCTACTTAAAGGCTATCAGTATCCGCCTCTACAACTGAGAATGCAGAGATCATCCAGAGAGCCATCGCTTCCTTTCTTGACATTCATTTGATATATTGTCTGGATTTGCTAGCTTCTACGATCTTTACTTTTTACCACACTCGTTTCGATAATACACTCTTTTCTTACGTCAAAATACCCGAATACAACACTACCTATCACAGTCTTTAACATTGACCATGAATCGTTTTTACTTGCTTTGGCTGTTTAGCCTCCTCCTACCGGTGGCTCAAGCGGAGAACCGCAATTCAAACCATCAATCTGATGCCCAGACTATAGCAGCCTTCGCCGAGAAAGGCTGGTGTTTTAACTATGGTGGTTTCTGGCAATCTGAAAATACGTTGGCCCCCTGCAGAAAGTACTGTGAAACTCATCAGTCCGGGCCATTAAATGATATTTCGGTATGAAGCTCCAAGGATCATCACCCAGACGTTCGAGTATGAAAATATGCTCACTCATATTCAAGTGTCTTTCTTTTGGCGTTTCCTTTCAACAAATGAAGGAGATGGGCCTCTCTTATATAGATGATAGCGGTCATGAATTCGTGACTGGAGAATGCAGATGTGATCTTGACGGACTCGGAAAAGTCATCATAGATACCCTTGTGTCCGGGCTTTCACGCCTAGATGATATCCTATGCGGCGTCTTTGTGGAGACTTTCGAGACCATCCTGGACGCTGGGCTTCTGGCTCTACCAGTTGGTCAAGTTAAGAGAATCGAGACCTTCATCAGAGCTGCCAAAACCGTGGCTGAGAACGGACTAGATGCAGGCGTATTCTTTGGCAGTTGGGCCAACCCAATTTGCGGCAAGGGCTGAGATAAGCCTTCAGAAGACCATGTCTTCGCCGAATTGGCTCAAGCGTCAGATGAATATGGAAGTAGTTTGGGATGCAAAAGAATGGAAGGTTGCCCCGAATCTCATAACCAACGCAGGGGGTTAGGTAAGGTTGTGCGTGGACTATTTGGTAAAGGTGGAGGGCGGAAGGGCGGCGGAAAGTCTGGTTCAGGGAAGCCAGGGAATAAAAATGGCTCTAATCCCAAGAACGAATCTAAACCGGCCGACAAGCCCACTGACAAGCCTAAATCGGATGATAAGCCGAAATCAACTACAAAAGAGGAACCGAAATCTACTACGAAGGACAAGCCAACCACCACGGAGGAAAAACTGAAACAGACAACCACCAATAAACCAAATTCGACCACTAGGGATAAGCCAACTACGAAATCCAGTGATGGACCAACGACAACATCGAAACCTAAGTCTGCAACCTCCACCCACAGCAAGCCAACGTCTGACGGCGAGGCACACCGTTCTTCACCTACTACGAGCCACTCTAGGTCAGCATCTAAAGATGGCAATGCAGGGACATCATCCACAATAAAGCCTGGACCAACTACTACGGATCACCCTGGAGTTTCTTCTACAAGCTCTCTCAAAACTAGCTCCACAAAGCATAGTAGCACCCAGGCATCATCAACTACGACTCAGGGGCGGCCAACCACTTCTCCAATCTGTAAGCCTGGAAAAGGGGTTGGTGGGTGCTCAGCATGTTCCAATGTACAAGCATGGCCGCCGGGATATTTCAAAGAGGAGGATAGAGGTGAAGAAGAAGATGAAGAAGAAGTTGTACACCTTGCAATCAGAGGAACTGGTTTCTTTGGGTGGGAGTCTCATTCGTTAGAGAGAAGGGCAAAGACATCTACAACTTCGACAAGCACTCCAAGCTCAACGAGCGGAAGTCTGACTGCAACCAGCAGTACCTCAGCACCAACCGGCATACCCACTCCTCCGGTCCTTAGACCCAGCAAAAATGGAAAAAAGGTGCAGTTCTGTGACTTGGTTACCAACACGGCACCTTATCCAGGTCCTGCTAAACTAATAGGGGTACGTATACAATGAGTTACATTAAATTTGTGATTGTTTCTAACTATCAACGGGATTTTAGAATATGAATGTTGGGACGAATATTATTTTTTCCCTCAAAAACCCAAAAGAGTGTGGAGATTTTGAAATTCGAAGACGTCTGAACTCACTCTATAAGACTGATTATAAAATGTTAAATTCCCCAAAGCACAACCCCAATTACGGGCTTGCAACCGAACATGTCTTGGAAACTCAGCTTATTAGCCTCTTCTCTGAGGAAATATCTAAACAAGCAGGGAAGATGTTTATTGACCCTTCTGACAAATCAGGTCTCAAAATGGTGGACTTTTGCACGTACATGACAGCTTACTGGGCCGACAGCAACAAGAACTTCCTCCCGGAGATCGGAGGAGTTTCTAAGCTTGGTGTACAATGGATTGCAGATCAATTCCCTATCACCAAAAGCTGGTTAGATGAATTCTTTTTACTTCCTGGTGCACCAAATGGGATCAAAGGAAGAGTAAGCCATTCTACGTTCATGCCTACAACTCTTCGGCCCTTCCTAGCTAACACATCATATAGGCATGGGGTAACGATAAAATTTTTGTCGATGACATGGAGAACTCAGTCAACAACAGAGATTTTCTCACAAAGAATATGCTTCAAGAATCAGAATTGGTCAAGGCTATTATCAGATTTAAAGATGTCATGTTCGCTTATAAGTATATGGCTATGAAGGATGTCGGAACCGTGTTCAATAAACAAGTACAACGGATTTCAGATATTCTCACGGAACTTGACAAAGCAACCGCAAGAATTGAATTTGAAAAGAAATCCACAACGGTTTTCCGCAATTACAGGCATCAGGGCCTTGGAAAGAAATGGGACAAATGGATAAAAGAGCGCACTGAAAATACCATCAAAAAGATTGAGATGTTTTTTGATGACCAGTATGGCCATTATATCAAGGCTCGTGCTGAATTGGAAAAGGAGCTTAAGGCGGCAATCAAGTCTGCAGAAGACGAGGAGAAAAAGAACAAGGGCAAGAAACTGAATGCTCAGCAGCTAAAGGACGCCGATGCGAAGAAAAGAGAGCATGAAGCACAAAAAGAAAGATACGAAACTGTTATTAAGTACCTTCAGAACCTGGAGAAGTCTTACACAAGTATGAAGAAGTGGAAGAACCCACTGTAGGGATCAATTCGAGGTCTCCACAATTAGCCTTCATTTGCGATGGGCACTTCAGCTTGAGTTTTATCTTCTCATACCTCTCTAGTTTAGTCAATAAGCATATACTTCGTTTCTGGAGGCATTTTATACAATATAAACAATTCATAATATGGATGGACATTTCAATGATGGTAGTTTATCAAGCCATTTGGCCCCAGTGCTTCCATCCACATCTGTTCGATTTCTTTGCTCGCGCGCCAATTGTTCCCAACATCGCATATTACTCTGGGTCTTCTCCGATGGCCTCTTTTGTCGAACCTGAATTGGTCGCCAGGAGTTTTATAATAAATACTAAACCGCCGTGTCAGGCCTTCCGCTTTCACATATCCTGGATGAAGCTTTACCTCTCCAAAGCATAAATGGAGGGACTCGAGTAAAGGAGCATGACGAATAACTAATGCCAACGCTTTCAAGAAAGGATCGATTCTTTCTGGGACCGGGATAGACCGAAACATATTCAGAGGCTGACCAGAAACTCGGAAATAATCGCTGATGTATTTTCTATCATTTGGACCCATGAATTCGGAGTCGGACGCGAGAGCCGGATCCCCTTTGAAATACCAGTCCCCATCGGGTGTATTGGCACCGACGGAAATACATAAGCTTGTCAAATTTGGCCACAGTGGCTTTGGGGCATCTTTAACATTCTTATATGGCCATAATATATCGGCAGAGTAAGGAAGAAGTGCACCAATGGTTATTTCTGAAACGTTCGCTCGTTGAATGAATTCATGTATTGCGAGACTGAACGTGTCCGTCGACGAGGCGGATGAAATAAACTTTGGTGGAGGCATTGCTTCGTCAAGCATGCATCCAGACCATGAGTCTGATCTAAGGCCTAAATCTTTCACAGACTGAGTATAATTTGATAAGGCAAGACTGAAATCTGTATCGGTTAAGTTAGCTATGGTAATTTCATGGTCTGCATAGGAGACAAACCGCGTCGATTATCTATTAGCGTCTTTTCTTTGACTCCTTTAGTCCCACCTTCAGTACACTCCCACGAATCATGGTAGTAAGTAATGCAACGATTCAAATTCTTCAACTTGCTTGCCATTTGTATCCCCGCAACAGGGTCAATGTGACGGGACCACATCCATGTGGTTGGGTAAAAGGACGTCACACACTCTAGTGTGGGCAATCTTTCGGGGTTTAGGAGCTTAATGAAGGTTCCTTGAAGTCTGTACTCTTTATCCGCAAAAGGAATGTCTTCATCCTTTGGGGTTTCAATGGAGTGCAGCCAGAATTCAATTCCAACCCCCTTTGTAAAATTAGCCTTGACCGCTTCATCTTCATTAAACGTTTTGAGGAGCTGGAATGAGTCATGGATAGCAGTGGAGAATATTTGATTATTGAGCTCTCCGTGCTGGTGACAGTCATCTCCGTCATAAGGTGGCAGCTTGATAGTGAGGCTTATACGCCTGACCAGAGCCTTTCTGTGGGCTCTAGCTGTGCCCCAGAAAAGAGAAGCAAAAGTCGACAGCTGGGTGTTGTTGAGGTCAAAGTTCTTGAAGGAGAAGCGCTCGATAACACGCTGCCAGCGTTTGGAAATGACTGCAAACGGCAAAAAAGCCTTCTCGTTGTAGCGATGGCATCCAAGATGGTCAAAAATAGCAAGAAAAATCTCCTCCGGGATAGTCTCCAAGGTCGCCATGGTACTCTTTATCTTTGCGGTCAAGCGATAGTAGGGCTGGTTGCTTATGTAGCGGTTAATTATCCAGGCAAATCTATTGCTCCCCAAGTCCAAAGATAAACTGATGAAGAAGTGCGGAAGCCTGGCTTTTTAACTAGTTACCAACAAGTTAGTTAGCAAGCCGGTTGGTCACAAGTCTATGACTTGCGGTATTTGGGTGCGAACAGAGTCAACTCACCCACCGACAGTCCAATTCGCCAAATTCGCCAGAGGGACCTCGCTTCGGGATCGTTAATCTGTCTCGAGTCCGTGATGGCCAGTGTTTATGGCGGAGGACAGTCATAAAATACCATCTGTACTCCGTAACTTGGTTGTCTCAGTTAACTCGTTAGTTACTCCGCCCCGCGGCTCGTTCGGCTTTCTTTCGGCCGCAGCGTAAATTAAATACCTAGTTAGTTATAATTAACTAGGGCAGGGATCGAAAGGCATTCACTGAAATATTCGTCAAATTGTGAGTATGAGTATACCACTTAACGCCTCGTCGGACGAAGGTATCTGTAATTAATGTCAGCTTAACCTTTTAACTAACTAGGAATTTAACCAAAGGTGACCACAGAGCCGCAACCTAAATTGTGAGCCTCAAAAGGTTGTGGGAAGATTCTAACGTGGACCTTCAGTTAAGCTGTGTTACTGGTTACAGCAGGGCTTCAACGGAAGACTGAATACATCAAACGCTTGCTTTAAATACTCCTTTCTCATTAGTGGACCTACCAATGCCGCCTACGCTTGGAGACGTAAAAGCTGGGTATATAGATAGTGATTCGGGAATATCCAATAGGTGACCTATGAAAACATACTTGAACGCACTTCTACCAAACCGCATCAAAAAAGTCATACAGCACTGTAAGTGAACCCATTTTATCCTCTCATCGAGGGAACTCGAACACCATATACCTTCACGGGCATAACTCATAAACACTGAAGCGGACAAACCATACCGGCCTACTTTGTGGTGACCCTTTCCAGCTCCTCACTAATCTCTACTTGGTCAGCCCAAGTGCCCGAGGGTTCCTTCATTGACAGAATATCAGGAGCTTTATCCCACGCCGTTGCGCCGGTCCTCTCCCCTTTAGTATCAGCCTGCTTCTCTGAACCAGGCAGAGCGGGGAATTCATCTGATGTAGGAACCTTTGCTTGCTGCTCGGGAGGGGAGACTTCGGTATTTCTGTCCCCCAGAACTCGACCTCTGCCGACACCTCTTCTCCCCTGGCCTCTTCCTCCTCGGCTGCCTCGCCCTCGCCCTCGATCTCCGAAGAGTGGGCTGGGCTGATTATCATAGTCACCTGCTGACGTCGGGGGTGTCGTAGCACGTTTATCATTTGCTATACTTCCGTGAGCTCCTCTGCGATATGCTGAGCCTCCCCGGCTGTGTTCAGAGAAGGAATCCTGCGATTTCTCTGCGTCCCATTCGCGGCCTGTCTGTGAATTCAGCTTCCTCTGTCGGTTCTTTTCTCTCTCACTAAGCATGACACGGCGGTTTTGCTGCTCCTCCAACCGTTTCGCCAGAGCTATCTTCTCACGCTCCTGAAAAGAGGCCTCGTCTGCTTCGGCTCGTGCATGAGCAGCAGCCTTTTTGGCAGCAGTGAGTTTAGCCGCAGCCATCCGTTCGGATAATTCTTCCTCGGTCAGTTTAGGCTGTTTGGACATAATAAGTCAGTTATTATATTGCCATCAACTGTGCTTTCTGAAAGAGGAATATACCTTTCTAATGCCTCCTGTTCTACTCCGATCACCTCGTACGGCCGGAACCCTTGGTGACGCAGTCTCTTTGGCTTGCTCTGCCTCCTGGGGCACATCTACAGTGCTACCAATGTTCTTATCCACTTTCGAGGCATCAGCAGACTGTCCTTTCTCTGGCTGCTTTTCTTGGGCGTCCGCATCACCGTTCAGAGGCTGATCCTGGGTGGGAGTCTCTGTCACAGCAGGGTGCGCCGAGGGGGAACCGCCAGATTTCTCAGGTGTTTTGGGTGTATCAGGTCTCAGCTTGCGAGAAAATCCGTTTCCTCTTCCTCTTCCTCGACCGGCGCCACCTCGTTTGCGGTGCTGCGATGGCGCCGCGTCCTGTTTCGGATGGAGGGCTTGCTCAACCTGCGACGGCGGGCCGGCTGAATCTATCGGTTCTTCTTTCGGCTGTGTGGAGGAATACGGCGCGGTATCGGGCTCGTCGACTGGCTCATGGACTGGCTGAGGCTGCGATGCAACGGGTATCACGTCGTCATCAAACAGATCGTCAACGCCGCGGGTTTGCGCAAACTCGTCCATAGCGGCTAACTATCGGCAGCTTCAACCGCAGTTAGTAAACTAAGAAGTTAGCTAGCCGGAGGAAAGGCCAGGGGGGAATGAATAGGTCGAGCAGCGTCCAATATGCAGTTCACGATGGACACTAGTTATCACAAGTAAGGTGGTGGGTTTGCTCTGCGTCGACCGGAATTTCGCAGTGAAGTTGATCAGCCTAAGATAAGTTAGTGATAAGATAAGAACCAACGACCGCCCAGCCCTACAAGAGCCGCCCGATATTATTAGTAAACACGACATCGACAATACCCGGCCTATAGTTAGGTGAGACTGCCTGCAAAGGGCAGCCGAAGATCGCTGCAGGTGTATGTAGTGTAGCAAAAAGCACCTTAATTAATGTAATTAAAGATCTGGCCCCTTGAGCTATTAAAGATACAAAGACAGAAGCATCAATCGAGTTTTTTTTTTTTTTTAGTAGAACGCCGCTTGCCACCCGTTGTCATTCCGATATCATATCAATTTCAAATGCATAACATTACGCGTTCGGCCAATCCCGTTCAATCCATTTTGTGCTGGAAAAGTCATTTTCTTGCAAGTGGTGGTGTAAGATTCTAATCAAAAGAGAAAAGAATTTCGTGAAAAGAGTTGTAGTTCGGCAGGGATGATGATAGAGAATTATTTACTATGCTGTTGTTTCCAGGGACAAGTAATGTAAAATCAGGCAATGTAATAAAGGTTATGTTAAGGGTCTCTTTTTAAGAAAGGTGGAATGCGCCTTGTCCTTCGCGCATTGCGATGCTGAGTTTGTTGAGGAGAACCTCGGCAGAGGAGTAGTCTGGCAACTTCAAGTAGTTCACGCAGGTCATGACACTGGGGAGATAGTCATCCGGGGTGTAGGGTGGTTCACTTGGCCGGCAGACCACAGTAAACATTGGCGTGAGACCTTTGAAGCCTATATTGTAGATGTCATGGTCAGTCACACTTGAAGAGAAAGAAGCAACGGGGAGATTGAGGTGGGGGATGTAATGAGAGAACTGTTTACTTACCACCGATAGGGAGCTTGGGACTTCCAGTGACGAACTGCAAAAAGTCGCGGCGTTGTTGGAGGTTGAACTCGCTCAAGGTTGCGAGCAAGTTTCGAACACTTCTGCTATCCATGTTAAATCCATGGTCGGCCTTGATAGAATCCATGAGGGCTAATAAAGTAAAGTCAGTAAATGGCCTGGACAAATCTTCTGCGGTATATAGATAAACGGAGAAAGAAGTGACTTACTTTCGATAGACCAATCTTCATCAACCTGGCCAAAAAGCATCACCAGTTCATCGGGTGTAAAGGTCTTTAATGATGAATATAAGAATACTTGAGAAAATCCAGCGGCAAATGCATCAAGCTGTGCCTTTATCCCAGTTCCAAGCGTCATATCGATGACCCTGTCAATGTATAGCCCGACATTTGACATAGTAATAGGCGTGTCCTGGCCATTAGGTATCAGTTTAATGTGTGGGTATCCAGGCAATGTGAAATCAAGGCCGAGGTCTGCGAGTTTGGTGTCGTCGATTTCACATTGCTCCATTGCACAAGCCGCTTCCGCTGCCGATAGAGAAGCATCTGCTTTAATAGCAACTGCCTGGTCGGCAAATTTCTTCAGAAACCTCAAAGAATTCGCAAGCTCTGCATCTACTCGCTTCACGGAGCCAATGGATGGGGGCTTCTTGGTGTATGCGCCTCGGCCAACACTGAAGAATAATGGGTTGAATCCAATGTCAATAATACGCGAGTCGAGCATGGAGCGGGCGACAAATTTGCCTAGCGCTTTGAAGTACTGTAGCTGCTTCTTTCCTGCTTCCTGTGTAACCTGCTCTTGACTCATCGGTGCTGGGAAAAGTCCTAATTTATTGTCAACGTATTCTCCGTCACCACTGGCATCCGAATCTCTCCATAGCTTCAGCTTGCGCTTAGCGAACTCTTTGGAGACCGTGGAATAGAACTCAAGTGTAGGCCCCAACCCGGTTCCGACTTCCTCAAAGTATTCGATTTCCAGAACACTTGGCGATGAACCGTACAGCTCGAGGACCTTCATAGCTGACTCAAGAATGCGTGTCCGTGAGATTCGTACCTTTTGTCTCTGAAGGCGGCCGCTGTAGGCACGGTCATCTCTTCGGCGCTCTCGCTGGCCATCGTCATTTGACTGAGCGCCTTGCCAGCGAACCATGGACCTAGCGTAGCCAAAAGACGTAGACTGTAAAAAGAGATGTCGCGTTTCGAATGGGAAAAGGAAGGCAAAATGACGGCCGAGGTCTTCACTCCAGCTAGGCAAACAGCTGCTTGCCACTATCAGAGGTTCTTCAAGCTGCCGATTAAGTTTTGCGGTCAGTTTTGTGTTGATAAATTGCGACGGGGGTTCTGGTGCAATTCCAATCACTCCGCTGTCGTTTGCCAACTCGTCATCTGACTGAGAATTTAGATTGTGCAAAGCTCGAAGGAGTCGAAGAATTGATGCTGTTGTTGGAACGTTATTGAGGGATTCTGGCATGTCAACGTCGTCAACCATGGCAGACACATTAGAGGCAGGAGTAAGTGTTGTTGGCTCGGGCGGCGGTGGCCCCTGAGCTCGCCTGAAATAGATAGTGTGGACAGTCGACCAAACATTTCTAGCAGGCGAGCTGTTATCATTGGCTTGATTGCACTGGACGGCACGGTAGATGGTAGTGTCATTTGTTATGGGTTTCCCATTCACAACGAATTCGATATGCCAGTCTTGAGGCATGGCTAGCATTGCAGCGGCATATGATGTGAAGGACCTGCCAGCCATGGAAAGAGACCGGCTAAATGATGGGGGGCTCGACCTTGCGAGGGATGCTGTCGATGACTTGGCTACGGGGGTGGACTGGGAAGGAGTAGAGACTCTTGTGCCATCCTCCTTTCTCGCAGTCACCTTGCCAGTAGACGCAACCTCCATATTGACGGCTGACGGGTCAGGAACATCATCTTCCGATAGATCGTTATCAATGTCATCCACAATGGTGTCGAGGGTATCACCTTCTTCATCATCTTCTTCATCGTCACTACCGTTTGGTTCATCAGCGCACTCTAACGGCCCATCAGTGTCATCACTTTCCATGGGCGGCGGTGGAGGCTGATGCCGAGCTGAGCGCCTACGTCCCACACCTTCACGTTCTCCATTACCTGAACCCTGGAGTGTTGAGGGGCGAGCTGATCTTCCTTTATTTGTTCCTCTGGAACTGGTTCCATTGGAGCTATCTCGCCCAGTTGGCAATCGATATGATGGGAAGTCGGACAAGTGGGGGGATCCAGTATCACTTCCCCGGCTAGCTGATTCCGGGTCCTGCGGGTTTGTACCGCCAGAGAGATGTGGGAAGGTTGGGTCGCGATGTCGAGAATGTCGCGGACGCTCAGAGAGACTTATTCTTGGGCGAAGGTAGTCATCCAAGGTCTTGAAATTGGCAATGGCATGGATAGAAACCATCATATTCTTATACGGCTTGGGTATATTTGAACCCTCCTCAGCTACCAATCGGAGCCGGATTTGCTTTGACAGCATGGATAGGGTACTTCTGCTATCAAATGCATTATGGTGGACAGTAACAACCTCAAAATTCTCGGTACGACTAAGGAGGTCTTGAAGTTGGTGGATAAAGGCACCGAATGCAGATTTGCGCTCGGAGCTGTGCTTTAGAGGCGACTGTGAGCACTTGAATGCCTTCAGGAAGTCTGCACCAGCTTGACCTATATGGAGACATTAGTAACGTTCAACAACTAAGAATGTCTTCAGCGTATCACTCATAGGAGAAATACGTACCTTTTGAGTTCTCAATGACGTCAACAAGCACACGAATGATACCAGAATTCAATAGTTCATAACTTGTGATGCTGTCAAGGGCATTTTGATCAAAATAGGCTGCAAGCTTAGAAAAGAGCTTGAAGCCCCTGTTCCCCACAACAGGAGCTTTGTAGCAATCCTCGATTTTCTCAGTGAGGCCACGGAGGGTAGCTAGTACGACTTCCGCCTTTTCATGCATGCCAGCTGTCTTGCTCTCTTCGTAGAGTTCAAGGAAATGTTTGGCACCGTTTGTTATAAGGTCTTGGAGAGTGTGGTCAAGAGATTGAGCAGGAGGATGAACAATCGAGGATGCTTCGCTGTCTGAAGCGTCATCATGTTCATGTTCATGTTCATCATGGTGCTCTGGATCGTCAGGATAGTCCCCATTAAACTCATCCTCATCATTACTCTCATCCTCATGATCGTGGATGTCATCTTGAATATCATGTTCATTCCCACTGTCGTTATCGTGTCCGTGGTTCACACCATCATCGTGGGAAAGATGATTTTTTGATCCGAGAACCAAACCGGACTTCTCCTCTGCCGGTTTATCATCTTTACCCAGTACTGATGCGGTAGCTAATGCTTTGATTTCGTTTATGACCCCTTCTCGATGGAATTGATATTGGTAAATATCTCTCAGTCGTTCATATAACAGTTCCGCACATTGCAAAGCAAGTGCGACGAGAGATATGTGATCCTTTTGGGATAATATACCGGCCAAGAAAGATGCATACGGTACAGATCGCAATGCTTCTTCTATGATATTGACATCAAGGGCTTGGACCATCTTTAGTTGTGCCAACAGTACCTTTTGCCTTACCCTCAGGTTCACAGTACTAGAGTAGACATCCGTAAGGGTCGGCAAGAGAATTGTGGCAAACCGTTTGATTTCCGGCTGGCATTGTTTCAACAGCTCCAATCGCTTCTCACCCATGGCTTTGATTTTGGGAGTGACCGAGAGTGGTAGGGGTCCACCACCAAGCGTGAAACGCAGCTGGTCATCTAAAAGAACAACTGATCCTTTTGATGCAGCAGGGAGGAGCTCATAAACAATATTGAGGGTTTCGTAGACTTGCTCGCGGGGCCGATGGATCAAAGCCTGCATAATATGCACGGTATCAGACTTGGCCGGCCCAATACCTTCGTCAGAAGGCGGTGAAACTCCTGTGAGGATTTGATACAAAGTATCTACTATATTCATTTTCAGGAGCTCGACAGACAGGCGTGGGCTTGATTTGCATATTATTCCTAGGATGCGGAGGAAATATGTATGAATGTGTGGACCGATCAAGTTTGTGGTGCCTGGTAGGAGTAACCGAAGGACAGCTCTTAGAAGGTCCGGCTCAATTAATTCTTCTAGCTGCTCTGGCTTGTATCGGAAGCTTTCTACCACGCGGCAAACGCACAGGCAGCCCTGCTCAACAACCTTTTGGTCGCTACTTGAGAGCACATTTAGTAGTATGGGCATGACATCTTTGACAACAGGAAACGAGTCCTGCGGTACGTTACGGCAGCAATTCGCAGCCGTTGTGACGGCGGTACGTTGTGTGCTGGTGGGGAAAAAATCAAGATATGTGAGACAGGCTGTGAGACCTCCTTCCCGCACAATTGAAGCAGGGAAGTCCACAGATATCTTTGCCAGAGTCTAGTATGCCAAAATGCGTCAGTACCTGATGTCTGTATGTATAAATAGCTGGGAAGTTTTGAAATTGGACATACGCTTAGAGCTTGCTCAGCCAGGTCAATGAATTGTATATCCAGCAGCTTTTGACAGAGAATGGGCACGGCGCCCCCCTGGACCACGCTGCCGGCGGAGCCTCGAATAGCTTCCATCATGTTTGCCAGACATCTGCAAGCTAACAGCATTATTTCGGGGTTTTCTTCTCCGAAGTCATTAGGCTGCATCAGATTTACGAGCTCGTGCACATAAGGATCTGGGGAGAAGTGGCCAGCAAGATTGTCCTCGTTCGAAACTAGAAGAAGATCTGACAGTTCCTGCAATGCAATTAACTGGACGGAAGGATCTTCCTTTGTCTTCAAATTCGACAGGATATCCCGGAGTCGAGAAGACATGCCAGACATCATGCCGCTGAGAGCACGCAGCGTACTTTGTAGGCCAAAGTGACCTCCTGATCCAAAGATGCCGTTACGAAATGATTCATGTTCATCATCCTCGGCGGTTTCCATCTGGTTGGCTTCTTCATGGCTATCGCTGGTTGGGGAGGTTTCTTCATCATCTTTCTCATTTGCCTTCTCCTTGCGTTCTTCGGCTCTATCTTTCAGGTCGACATCAGTATCTCGTTTACCTCTCTTTTTCTGTCGACGGGGCGGAGAAACGTGTTGGGATGAGTCTTGGAGGAATGAAAGTGTCAGCAGGGTTTATTCATCAGAAAAGAGTCTGGAAGTACTAAGATAGCTTGCACACCTCTTGTGGTCTTTCTATTTCGACTAGTGCGGTTCTTTGAGGATGAGGACGAAGCAGCGACGGACTTTGGTCTCTCTTCAGACCCTCCGGGGGACCTATGGCACGTTAGTATTGGTACTTATACCAAACATAATCTCCCATAAATGCATAGACAAGTCGAATATTGAAAATAGATATCTACATACCTAGGCTGAGACATGACTGCAGACTGTCGAGCACTGTGCCGAGAGGCAGTCTGACGGGCAGGTGTCAACTTCTGGCGCTTGGAGCGCGATGCAGGCTGCGGCGACGGAGGGACCTCAGGGTCAGCCCGAGATACCTCACGGCGGGAAGGAGCCTTTCGTTTCCGGGTTTGAGGGGCAGGATTAGGCGGCGAGGTGGACTCTGACACACTGGCAGCACTGCCGGCAGCAAGCCTGGCGGCCGATCGAGTAACTCTGCGTTCCATGGCATTAGTGTATCCTATAGAGATTTGTGCAGAGTAAAGGAGGGGGAAGGCCGAAGTGAAATGACCATCCAAGATGAAAAGAAAATAAGCAACAAAACCAACAGTTGAATAGGATGGACAAGGAAAAGGTGAAGACCATGAGGAAAACGAGGGGGAAACAGGTATGAAAGGTTAAAAAAAAAATAGCATGGATGGGTAGTGAAGATGGAGACTGGAGACGGAATTTACCTTGGAGACGAGGCCTCTACAGCAGCCTTCTTCTCAGCGGGCTGTCCGGACTGGTCGAGAGAAGAGAGAGCACTTCGCTTGGCCATAAGTAAGTCATACACACAGCTCACCCGTCAACCCGCCATCCGCAGCTGTGGGAGACTGGGAGGAGGAGGAGGAGGAGGAGTTGGATGTGAGTGTTGACTTTGATGTCTGTTGCTCGCGGTCCTAGTTGGCTGATGTGACTGTTGTCTCGTGTTCAGCACATCGCAGGAAACGTGTCGGGGATGCTGCAGGCGAGTAACCAGACTCGCTCACCACTGGTTCCGGGTGTCTGCTGCTTGCAGTCGAGGTCCTGTCCTGGTCGAGGGGTGGTGAAAGACGAAGCTGGCGTCAACGGAGGTCGGAAGTTCGTCGGTTGACGTTGGAAAAAGGCAAAAGAGGCAGTCGAACAAGCGCCAAGAAGCGCCGTCACCGCCGAACAAAAAAGAGCCGCAGGTCACGGGAACGTCGCTTTTGCCGCGCGCCGCCGCCGGATCGCAAGTACCAGGTACTTCGGCCGCCCCCGTCTGGCGCCCCTTGGGGGGTAAGCTGCCCAACCTGGCGAAGGACGGGGTGCGTGTGCGCTGTCGAGTGCGGCGGGTGCGGGCCGGAGAGTGCGTGCATGCTGAATTTTCTGTCCGTACAGGGAGGCAGATGGTGGCGGCAGTGGTGGAAAACTCCAGCGGAATGCAGCGATGTTCGCCGTGGATATAAAGACGGCAGACATCCCACTAAACCCCCCCTACGAGGCCCACTGCTACAACCAACCTTGCTAAAGACACCGACCTACGACAGCAGCGACAGCTTTATAGTGTCAATTGCATTGCTACGGCCATCATGGGATCCCTCGACTCGCTGCCCGCTATGAAGCGCGAGCCAAAGATCATCTTCTTCACCGATTTTGACGGCACCATCACGCTGCAGGATAGTATGCTTCACGGAAACCATTTGGGCAGAGAGGGAGAGATGCGAGTCTAACTGTGGATGCCACTCGCAGGCAACGATCACTTGGTAATGATCTATATTCTTGCTTGATTGCTTTCTACGTCCTGCCTCACTACTCTCATGGACACTAGCTAACCAGGCCCCTCCAGACCGACCACCTCGGGTTTGGCGCTGTCGAACGAAGCGCAAGGAACACCGCTATCCTCGAGGGCAAAATTACTTTCCGGTAAACGCTCGATTGTCCTCATCCTGCTGCTTAATGATGAAGCCCATTCGGTCTGTTTGCTGACTCCTGACAATTAGGGATGGCTTCCGGGAGATGCTTGACAGTATCGACACTCCCTTTGGCGAATGTGTCGAGTTCCTCTGCCAGAGAGTCACACTTGATCCACACTTCACCGAATTTTACAACTGGGCCAAGAACAACAACGTGCCTATTGTGGTGCTGTCGTCCGGGATGGTCCCTATCATCCACGCTCTCTTGGTGAAGCTCCTCGGACACAAGCCCGAGAACATCCAGATTGTTGCCAACCAGGTTGCTAGTAGAGACGGAAAGGATATCAACTCCAAGGGAGGATGGCAGATTGACTTCCATGATGATAGGTGTGTTCATTTTGTTTCCCATGATAGTCAATTTCCTTGGCTAATGCTCGATGTTTACGTGCAAACAGCCACTTTGGCCATGACAAGTCCCTGGAGATTCGCCCTTACGCTGCAATCCCCAAGTCTGACCGCCCAATCCTCCTCTATGCCGGAGATGGGGTATCTGACATCTCTGCTGCCCGCCAGACAGACCTGCTCTTCGCCAAAAAGGGACACGGTACGTAATTACCCTGCCCATTTGCTGATCAACAGATATTGATATTGATTGCATTGACAATAACATATAGACCTAACCATTATCTGCAAACGTGATAATATCCCATACACAACTTTTGAGGATTGGTCTTCCATTCTCTCCACCACCAGAGACCTCCTTGAGGGCAAGACGACTCTAGATGATGTTATCACTGCACAGAAGCGCGATAACAACTAGATTTTTACCCCACATTTAGTTCTGATCGTTTATTATAGACTGGCACTGTATATGCCGTTTGACACATATTTTAAACATAAAAAATCTAACTACGATTGAGATATAGAGTATCATGAGAAATAGATAGAATGATTATGCCATGTTTGATTTGTTCTTCCTCCCCTCTGATGTTTCCGGTATCAGCCCTCCCTTGCTTTGGCCCCCTAAGTTACAGAATATGCCGCCCGTCATGACCGTGAAATATTGTCCTCGAACAATGTCACAGAGCAATAATACTTGGACGCGCCTCTGTACATCACTATACAGTTTATGACAGTACTCTTACCCTGAAGCCTAGAAGTACCCCTCTCGCATACAATCACAGAGCCAATGTCAGGGCAGACTTGTAGTCAGCCATATCGAGTCCATCCGATAGCTGTTCACATTCTGCCAGCATGCGATCAATAGAAGGGATGGCACACTTCGAGTGGCTGTAGAAAAAGGTGCTCGTTCTCTGGGCAGCTGGAAAATATATGCCATGTCGAAAACGATGAATGAAGTCTTGGAGACTGAGGCCGGTATACGGCGACTTGGGACGGTGTGGCAGGATATTAAATGCCCGTAGACGTTTTGTCAAGGCACCAACCATCAGAGCATCACACTCGAAGCTACAATGTTCGTTCTCCAGGTAGTCATCCAGATGACCAATGAGAGAAGATATTATCCGCCTTATAGCCTCCTCTCGTCGGCTATTGATTGCATCTGCCACAATGTGGCCAGTCAGCCAATGCACTCATCATTGATACCTAGGTCAGTTGTGAATCAGGGGTAACTGCTCACCTGCAACGAAGGACGGGACTGGTAGCTCATTGAAGGTCAAGGTACCCCGTCCATGTCTCAGGATCAGCCTGGTAACCCTTTTGAACTCCTCTGGCTTGTTAAAGACCCAGCAGACACACGTCCAGGATGGAATATCATCCGTATAGCAGTTGGGAATAGTGGATATCAGATTATTGAACCAGAAACCTGCAAACACTTCGATACGCTCGTGTAGCTCATACTTGTCAACCAGTATGGCAAGCTGGGTCAGCGTCTGAAAGTCCACTTGAAGCGGAACTTGGCGCAAATGGCCGTGAATAATGTTCAGTATGATCAAAAAGGCATCTGGGTCGTCATCAGGAAGAGGGATCTCAACGCTACCCAACGTACGCAGGGTCTGGCTTTCACCGAATCTATGCTCAAGCATCGCACGAAAAACGGACGACGCAAGAATTAAATGCCTAGATGAAACACGTATGGAGATTCCTATCGTTGTTAGCGTTGTCCAGACTTGAGGGATATGAAACTGGGGATTCCACTAGATACCCTCTTCTCTATGACTGCTAGCTTTCGTTCCACATGAGTCTTTGGGCGCTTGACAGTCTGAGCTATCGTCGACATACTGCACAAACCGGGTCATCAAAAGAGTAATCTCTCCATTTGGATCCAGCTGGTGCTGTTCTCTGCCAGAGCTCATAGGCTTGGTGACAAGCCGCAGCGGGGACGGGGTCCTGAGAGACGGCATCTCGATGGACAACTATTCACTCTGACACAGGCTTGTCTCTGCTCACAGTCCAAGAGCATAGTTATTGGAACGGGAGAAAGTGATCGCATGCTCTGCAGCAAGGACGCGGCAGTTTTATATAAATAATACCTCACACCAAACGGACAAGACGGCTCTTCCTGGCGAGCCATCCTCATCCATCGAGTGACGTGCAAGCAGTCGTCCCCTCGTTCCGGAGTAAAGGGAATCGTGCATGATGGCCACGGAGTCTCACTGCATGGCCAGCTGCAGCCTCTCTGAGCTTTCGATCGATTGAATCCTGATTGGAATTGCAAACGGGACCAATTGTTAGCCGCATCACCCCCCGGCCTTCAGGTCCTCTTGCGCCCCCTGACTCGACCGAATGTGCTTGGGCACGCCACCTATGACAGCAGGCATTTCCAGCTTCTCGACTGCCCTAATCTGTCCATATATGAAGGGCATCCTGGTATGACATGGTCATGTACAAGTTCCGCATCTCGCTTGATGGCCTGCGGATAGTTACATAACCAGCTTTGCTTCCGCCGTGGGTACCTCTTTATAAAACACAAGCAGGCAGCTAATGAGTTGACCATCCAACTGTTTCCAAGTCACAGACATCCGATTGATGGCTCCTACATGCCACTTCCCTATGTTTTGGCCCAGCGGTGGGACGGTGGCAGCCTTGGATGGTGTACTCGGTACCCTGGCCAGCGACCAGCCAGCCTGCCTGCGGCACCCATTGCACTGACGTCTTTTATCCAACAAAATGCCGCGGAATCTGCGGACAAACAGCCAGTTGGAATCCGAGGCTGCATGTCCCAGATGTTGGTTGTACGAGAGGCCTTGTCAATATTCGTGTTAGGCATTCTCCAACCAGCAGCTAGTTATGACAGCCCAGTCCCGAGTCCGCTCAGAGTGCCTATTGATGCCTGTCGAGAGTAACGGCTAATGAACAGTCGGTATAAGGGTGTCATTTCCTGCATTATTCTGTCTTCGTATTGGCGATAGAAGAAACCCATAATTAACCTACTGGTATGTTGCTGTCATTAACGACAAGCAGTGCTTTGAGTTGTCGGTCGTTGGGCTTTGGTAAAACTAACTAACTAGTTAATAAACACTGGCGGCTGTCACGAGCATATATAAACACACAAAGGAAATAATTTTCACGTTTGCTGCCACACTCGTATAGTTAAATAAGAGTGTACGTCAAGTGCGGTTGACTAGTTAACTACTAGTTTTGTCCGCTTCGCAATCCCGGCAGCATCTCATATGCAGCACGATCATCCTGGGGCTGGCTTGCTGTCTTCCCGCCAAAGAATACACCAAATGTCAAGATAGGGCCAACTTTTGCTAACAAGGACCGATCATCCTTCCCCTGATCAGCAATAGTTTCCCCGTTACCATCTTTCGCAACATGAATGAGGTTGTTGGAAGGTAAAAAGCGGGAAGGGTTCCATATGTTCCACAAGACAGAGTTGACCAGCATGAGGGAGGCTTCAAAAATATAGAAGTAGTATTCATGACGTAGGATAGGGCTCAAATCTTTGAGTTTCTCTATATCCTCCAGGTCCACAGCTGTGTTTCCCAGATGCTCTATCAGGCGGTAGATGCAGCGAATGAGGATCAAGACCATGCTCACATACAGTGTAATTAACATGGTGATAATAGGGCGATAGTATACGGAACGTATCTGGGCATTGGCACAGCGGCGATGCAAAATAATTGAGAGTGTGAGAAACGTCAATATGACTGCAAACTGAAGGGATAAAGCTGCGATGGTTAAGCTGCTCCCAAGGTGTTGCTGGCTCGAATCTGCCGATGGGTTTGAGCTAAGTGCAACACCTAGCGTATTTAAAGTCCCAACGATCAGCATTATTAGCCCGAACGTGGGCAGAACCTTACCCGGAGGAAATGGCGCAAGATGAGGGATATAGTAGAGGACTCTCCCGAGGACATGGTAATTGGCAAGTTCGAGAAGTGGACTAGTTATTTGGTTAGCTCTTACATAATATGAATACTTGCTACCACCGATCTGCAGAGCACTGACGGGCAGATATATATAAAGACCTGTCCAAGGATGAAGATAATGAGGGTTGTCATGTCTCCTGTGTATATATAGTTGAAGGAGCCATATTCTCTTATGGAATAGCCCACCGTAAACATAACTGCGCATAAGGGGTGAAGCCCGACAAGCTTCCACGAATTATATTGCCTACTCATACCTGTGAGCTATACAATCATACCACGTATAATCGGATTTTACTCACAAACACTGCCAGATATGACCCGCCGCTGAGAGGGTATAGGCAACAGCAAGGATGACAGAGGCGACTTTATCGGGGGCGTACACGAAAAGACTTCCCAGGACTATATAATATGATATTAGTAGAATAGCTCGAGGGTAAAGTATCACACCTAAGAAGTTACCAGGCGTCCCGTCGGCTGCTATATTGTCTCCGGTCCTTAATGCTCACATGGAACAAATGGAGAAAGGTTGGTACTCGACGACCAATCTTTAGCGATAGCTTGCCCGCAATATATCTGCACCTTGTTGGGGAAACTTTACCTTAGAGGGAAATTATGAGCTTGGAATATGTCTAAAATAAGCTTGATCGGAATGGAAAACAACGCAATGGTGAATCAGAGCAGTTTGCCGGGTTAAATGATTCCTTTCCGGAATCCTTCATCCTGATCCTTCGACTTGACTGGGTCGCTTCAGCCACACTTGATATATATGTGTACATAGAAGAAACAAAAATAGCAGGAATTTATCGTGTATTTTGTGCAAAAATAATAGTTCAAGATCTTTAGACTGGGAGTAGGACATGAGAAGACATCCCTCTTCTTACACTGGGTGTTGATAAATCTCATGGAAGTTGATAAACAGCCAATCGGCAGCGAAGGCGGAATAACAGCCAATCACAAATTAGGTAAATTTAGAGTAGACCCACTACCCGCATACATGGGCCAAACTAGACCCACCCCCGGAATTAGTGGCGATAATACAAAGGAACTGTGTATCCATTAGTTCCAAGGTCATCGAAAATCGGCAACTAAAAATATACAAGTTTAGAACATAAAAAGAGAAGCTACTTTATCCAGGAAGATATTTTTCTGGCCACAAACTACACCTCTACTACATCAAATCCAACGAGGGAGTACCGTGCAGCCAAGAAGGCAACGACGGAGGCAAGTATACTGCAGCTACAGAACAGTTGTAGATCTAAGTAATCGCCGTTTTGAAGCTTGACAATACTGTCTCCAATGAGACTACCAGTAAGTACCCCAAGAGACTGAATCGCAAAGGATGTCCCAACTCGCGTGCCGATCTAGTGAACATCTAAGATCTAGGCTACGATGGCAGGCGCTAGAGTGAAGTAGCCACTGGACAAAAAGCCAAACATAATAGCAAGGACAGCTATTGAAGCAGTACTTCTCACTGAAATCCATACAGCAAGGCAAAAGAGTGCTGCTTTTGTCATCCGATATATGGACTATTTCTTCGTCACTCTCATTCTCGAGCTGGAGCCATTCGTCTTCGTTTATTTTCTCAGGCGAGGTGCCTTCGCCATTAACCCCTAACCCATGGAAATATAGCAAGTGAGTCTCTCTGGGGAGTCTCTTGGCCTGGATATATTTTGGGGAATGATGATACCGTTATGCGGGAACTCGGAGCTGGATGTTCTGTCATAGCTCTAACTTTCAATTTGACGGCCCATTATCCAATACCTAGGTCTAGTGGGTATACCCAAGGTAGTGCCTTGGGTACTGTGAATGAGCAGCAAGGAGCAACACGCATTAGCTAGCAGTGTTATTCCCAACTGGAGTCCATGGTGTGAACGATTGAAGGTTGTAGGATGATTCATCGTCAACAACACGGGGTAGATACAGAAGTTGCCACACATCCGCTGTCGGAATTTTTATCAGATGAATTATGTAATATGTATGCAGGACTAGAAGAAAATCCTAGGTTCTGCAAAACTTCTTGGAAGAAGGGTGCAGCCCATGTGCAGCCGTGAGCTCGCCATATTGCAGGTGACTGTGGGTTCCCAAAATATTTCACAATGGGCTGATATAGCGGTCTCAGGGCGGTAGCTCTTAGGGTCATATAGTATGGAAGCTCATGGTCCACGTGAGCCAGGTTAATGCAGTTGAATTGATGAAACCAGTCATCGGCCGAAGTTGGCCATTGGCAGAAAGAGGTAATGGAAGCGGTAATTGAATAGCCGTGTCATGGTAGTTATGTGTAAGATAGGTTAGAGCTGTACCAGGGGCAACGGACAGCTAGGTGTCCAAGTTATATCGTTGGGAGAATTGAGCAAGGAGCAAAATACTCGAATGCCGTCTTGGAAGACGGAGGACTACAAACTGCAAAATCTTTGAAGACCGGGCCCTTCAATTTTCATCTCATCATTCCCATAACTATCCTCTGCACCGTTTATCGATACGCGAGCTCTTGCTGTCGCAGTTTCCCGTTGTTTGGGTTGAAGCTGACTAGCTCTTCTATCATCTAGAGACCGCTCTGACAACCAGTTACCACCAGAGAGCAAAACGGAAATGACACAATTGGCGTTAACTACCGTGGAGATGTCTGGCGGATCTAATGACGGCTCGCGCTCGATGGGTTCCATATCCGGTCAACGAAGGCTACCGTATCGCAGGTGTAAGGCTCATGCAATAAGTTAACGCCACTCAATAGTTAGTCCTTGTTGCCTGCAAATACATTGGCCAATATTATGATGACTTGGCTTATTTGTGGTGTCATAAGTAATCTATTAATATAACTGCGAGATGTTGGTTTGGTGACCGAGAAGCGGCGTTGTTGATTTGGCTTGATTGCTGACTACGTAACTAATTAGCTAAATAGTTAGAAGTTCATTGGCTGGATTATGGAGCCAATGACTAATTTAAATCCTGCTGATTGGTTTATTCCTCTAATAATAGGAATTTTTGCCCAATAAACGTTGAGTAAAAATCATTTATTTTATCTCAGCATCCTACCCGCTGTGCAACTTCTTTTGCTTGCTTCTTCCTCCAACTTTCCAAAACCTCCCTTTTCAGCATGTATCGAATCACATCTTTGCCGAAGCTACGTTCTCGTGAATGACGAGGTAGTCAGAACAACTATCGCCATTGACATACTCAAAGTAGACCAGATCGTGGTCCTGCGGCAACCTGGTCGCGATTCCACCCCTTGAATTTTGCGGCATTCAGCCCATTGTCACTATCAGGGTAAGTAAATAACGCTTGATTAACTATCTCATTCATGATATGGATGATACCTAATCAGGTTATTTGAAAGGTGAAAAGGGGGAAAGGAAGGGAGAAATTTATCGCCAGCCGAAGTTCTGTCATAAGTTGATAGGAGCTGCCATTGCCTATTTTGTTCACTAGCCCCTACCGTCTCTATTCACATCTGCTAGATGAATGGTAGCAGTATGGTCTATCCTATGCTCCTTACATGGTAGTGATGAATTAGGTGTTTTAGAAATTCTTAGAAATCAAGTCAGGCGTCCTGTCCTTTGTATTGCATTGTGGATGGTAGTGGTAGACTTAGGATGTTTCAATTAACAACGAACCCTTTCTCGGTCACACTATGCTATGTCTATTCAACTTCTTTTTTTTTTTCTTTTTTCTTTTTTCCTTTTTTTTTTTTTTTTTTTTTTTTGTGAAAATTGGATTAAATTCCTTGAGAAGTCTGCGTTCTCCGTAGTCAGATCGACTAGTCACAAGTTCATGCTCGGTTTGTGGTCAGAAAATCAACTTAAGTACTCCGTATATCTGAGGCTTTTAAATACGTACCCTATACTCCTAGGTGTGAGCGAGGAGATGTTCTATACCAACACAAAATAATGTCCCTATTGAAACCGTAGCGAGAGAGCCCCGGCCTGAGCCACGAGAGTGATGGAAATTGGGGCTGTAGGTCGTTGTTGGATAATATTACCATTAATTGTAGCTATTGAATGTCGAAATCTTGTGTCGTTTGATATCCAATACGAGAGTTGCTACACTAATTGTCCGAGATGTATAAAGGTAAATAAGGAGCAGCATTCACATGATGAGGTCATCCTTGCAGCCCTATGGAATTAAGCTTTGCGGCGGAAAGCCTTAACCCGGTTAACTAACCTTAAGAACCTAGACGCCTGATCGGCTGCCAGCGCTTCTTCTTCCTTCTTCCTCTCGCTTCTCGCCTCAGTGGCATTTCTTCTTCATTTTCTCTTTGCACTTCTTATACCTATCCATAGGCAGCTAATGATGATATACTGTTCATCTTAGCCTTGCCGAAACTGTTTCTCACCTCGCCACAAATGCTTTTCAACATACCTTATCCGCCTTCCCAGGCTGGATACTGGTCGCCTGTCACCTCCACGCTCAACTGGTGTGAAGAGGTAGCCCTTACCCACTACACGATACCAAATATATGATCTCAGCCGACTGACGACTTTCTTCTAGGACTACTATGCTACTCCGTACGCCGCCGAAATTGTGAATGCCTTCACCAATATCCTGTTTCTATACCTGGGAGTCAAGGGTATCCGGAGCTGCCGGAAGAACGGCCACGATGCCATCTTTCAAGTAGCGTTCCTTGGATACCTCCTGGTTGGATTAGGGAGCTTTCTATTCCATTCCACACTGAAATGTATACTCGATGTGATTCACGCTACACTCCCGGCACATATTCGCTAACCAGGTGCTTGGTGACGTAATAGATCCCATGCAGCTCGTTGACGAGCTGTCGATGATTTACACGACATGTCTTATGTGTTACGCCACCTTCTCCTTTTCCCGGCCTCGATCCCAGTGTATTATACTTGGAGCTGGTCTCCTGAGCTTGGCGATCTTTATCACTCTCTACTATCACTACCTTCAGGACCCTGTCTTCCATCAAGTGGCATATGGGGTCCTTACTGCAGTTGTGATATTTCGGAGCATGTGGGTGATGGAAGTTACCCTACGCCCATCTCTACAGCGATCGCGCAACCATACGAAGCCAGGCGTCTGGGGACACACGCTGACTACCAGCGGGGAGACAGTGAACCACAGAGATCTCAGAATCCTCAACAGTATGTGGGTAATGGTAGCCTACGGCCTGTCGACTTTCCTCGGGGGATTCTTCATCTGGAATTTGGACAATAAGTATTGCTCGACACTACGTATCTGGCGCCGTGAGATTGGACTTCCATGGGGAATCTTGCTAGAGGGACATGGCTGGTGGTGAGTTTGCGCTATCCGTTATGTTTTGAGAAACTGGTCTATATTGCCCATTTGCTCACTCAAAAATAGGCACTTGCTCACGGGAATCGGCGCGTATATGTATATCATTTGGGGAATTTGGCTACGTCATTGCCTCCACGGTCACCAGGACGAATACAGACTAGATTGGCCCCGGCTCTATAACGCCGCTGACATCGTTCGTGTTCACGATATATCTAAACCCTCGACCCCCGAAGGTTATGCTGAGAAGCTGAACTAAGGCGATCGAGATCTCAGTATATACAACAACATCCCGAGAAACACCTTTTAGACAGGTTGGTTTGGAGTTCTAGGAATTGAATCTTTGTGCTTCTAATCTTGTTCCAAATCGAGTGGAATAGAGCTTGTATCCATAACTATATATATAGAACTGGTGCACACTCTGAATAGGGTCTATCTGAAAGAGAATCGGCATAGTCTGCTGTTATTAAGTTGACAATAGCATGTTAAACTCAGAGGCAACCTGAAACCTGGCTCACAAACAGCATGTCGTTCCTTATAGCTTCGCGTCAGTATTGGTTTTCTTCCTCGTATTTCGTACGTCAAGTAGATCAACCTGTTTGACCCATTCCTGATCGATGGTCATCTTTTCAACCGATGATTTCTTTTTCCACGCTGTGGTCAGCTGTTCCTCCTCCCTACGCCAACGATGCATCTCCACACTTATTTGATCAGTGCACAGTTCAGCAGTTCGGTTCACCGCTTCCATGGCAATCAGATGGCCAACCCCCTTCATAACGATGCCCCTGATTCTCCCTTCAGCCACGCCCCCGCTACCACCAACAGCGATACCTGTCTGCTCGATCTTATCCTGGTTCATCTTCGGACTGCTGACTTCTGACTGGTCTGCAAATAAGTATAGAACACTTGGTCGAACAAATGGAAGCAGTTCAAACGTCCTAGCTACCTCGTAACGGTAGAACGGGAATGAAGATTTGTAAGTGGCAGGGTCAAGATCCGGGTGAGTAGTGCGATTCAGTGTTTGGCCGTCTTCAGATTTTGAACCATAAGCGGCCCTAACAAAAGAAAGTACTTCCTGGTGCCGAGTTGTAGTGAGGGTTACTGGCCTTTCTCCTACAGGCTTATTGGTGGAGTTGTCGTCTAACGGGTATAAAGCAGTAGGGAGTTCGCGGAGTCCATACTTGAAGAACCGCTGAAGTACGCGTGGGTCCCAGTTTTGATAGAACTTGCTTCCTTTAAGAGCATTCTCTGCAGCTATTCGAGACGGCCATATATCCCGCCGGTAAGTTGATGCGAGAGTCATAGTTGGAATATTCACCTTGGTCTGTTCAGAATATTCATGATCAAGAACGTCTAGTCTGTTCATCACAGGGTCCAATAGAATAAGTGCCGTCAGAAGCCGAGGATGCATAACAGAAAGGAATATTCTAAGTATCGCCCCGTCCCCGTTAGGTGTGTTTTCGGTATTTATTCTGGGGTTTCTTACAAATTGTTACCGCCCATACTATGACCAATCCCAACAATGGGTCGGGGCATTTCATCTCGCTTCAGGTTAATCAGGTGAAGGAGGTCCCGCGGATTATCATACCATGACGCTGATCAATTTGTCAACGGGACGATTATACTGTAATTCAATATTTATGAAACGTACGGTCATTCCCTAGGGAGTGCTCATTGAGCACCCCGCTTTGACCCTGGTGGGCAACATCTGCAATCCATATACTCCGTATACGGAAACCAGCCTTTTTTGAGCGTGCATGAACTTCCTCCCACAAGGGCTCATATAGCTCCTAATAGGCAGGAGATATTAGATATGCTGGCTATATTTTTTAAGAAAAGAAGAAAAAAACCGAGGGAAATACAATAGATCAACCCAGAATACTTCTTACCTTCGGAAAGCCATTGGCATGAGTACCTATTATCGTGACATCACCTGGTTGCGGATTTGGATTATCCAATGGTGCATACTGCTTGACAGCTAAGCTGAGCGTTTCTTCTTGGCTGGTAGCTGTCGCATAAGGGTATTCCCTGATATGCTGGCAGGGTACGACATGCTCAATGACCCGAAAACAGCTGGTCATCTTTTTGAATAACGAGGTAGGGATGCTTTGCCACCCTAATCGCTCATAAAAGATAAAACTGAAGGGGATATAGCGTAGTTACTCCTCGATTGTGGAATGAAAAGTAGTCGCTTTTTTCTGCCTGCTGCGAGGCTGTCTGGCCAGCGTGGAACAGGATGTCTTCCAAGGCTGCTTGCTCGTCCGCGGCGCGGTTCGGCCAGTCGTTCCCGATGGGCCGAGGTCTCAAGAGGTTCCAATAGACCTTTGATCGGCAGTGTCTCCGCCAAGGGATAGCAGGTGGCATATTCTCCTTGATTTCATCCTAGAGTATCCGTATATATCAATGACATAATAGACTCCATGCTGTATCTATACTTATGTATGGATGCCAACCAGCTCAAAATCATGTTTCAGGAGACAAAAACAAGCAAATTTTTTCGATTTCTTTTCACGTGAGCAAGAGTGTCATATGATGAGTAAGCTATCTCACGTGAGATCTCTCCTGTTATATTGTGCTCACGCGATGACTAAGGAACAAATCTTATGTTTAATTGGATTAAATCAGCACTGGTACGGAGTACTCCAAGACGTATTATGTAATACACACTAAAATCAATATTACAGTAGGTCTGTGATCCAATACAAACAAACTTTCGATAAAACTTACTTCAAATACATAATAATCGGCACGTGATCCACGCAGCTTTGACGCGTTTTGGCAAAAGCTAAAGCGCGTGTGTCTATATTTTGCTTTTTCTATCAAATCTATCAGCTCGACCAAACTCGACGCTGGCAACCACTGAAGGGACCAGCACAAACGGCCGATCAAGGGGAGATACTCTAAGCGTGAAGCTCTGTGAAACCGATATACTATTTGAAGGCATACTGTTCTACGACGGCTGACGGCCATAATGGAGGTAGAAGGGCTGTTCAGCCAGGCGCGGATCTGTATTGTCTGCTCCGCCCAGCTGAATGCAGAACAGGCAGAAGAAGTAGGTAGATGGATGGCTGTCAGCTGCAGCTTAAGGGCAATATGCTGATTTTTCTGTTGCCACAACACTAGATATCCTCTGCTTTACGAGAAAACGGAGGCGAGGTGGTTATAAATGAACCGCAGGCACCACTCCCACCCGTAAACGAGTTTAGTCACATCATCTCCCCGACCATAGACTTCCAAGGACATGATGCAGCATGCGACGCCCTCATTCCGGTAGTCAAGCCCCAGTGGGTGCAGATGTCTATATCAAAACAGAAGCTTGCGAACCCGCGGCAGTACAACCCAGACCCACGGCTATTTATGAACGACGTTATTGTCACCTGTGAAGATATCCCCGAAGGTGATAAAGATGCGATCATTGGTGGAGTTTTGGCTATGGGAGGTCTATACACATCTCGCATCACCAACAGCACGACCCATCTCGTTACTTTGACAATGAATGAGAGATGTATGGCGGCGAAGAAGAGGGGCCTCGCAACTAAGATCGTACTACCTCATTGGTAGGTATATTATACAACCCTCCGCACTTGATCCGCCTTGTCTAACTACCGCAGGTTCGACGATTGCCTCAAGCTTGGGAGGCGGATTGACGAACGACCTTACTTACTTCCCAATCCCGAGATTCTTCAACCAGAGTACGAACGGCCCCCGCGAATTGCTGCAAACAGGGACGTTATAGGTGCCTCAACTCCGGAACCCAACACTCTCCCAGACCGGACCGCTTCTCCCGGCGGCTCAAGGAAAGAATTAAACATCTTCAAGAGGAAAACCGTGATGATATCTTCAGATTTAGGCATAGCAGAGCACATGGCCAGCTCAATCAAAGAGCTGATCCGCGAAGGCGGCGGCCAAACCACCAACGAGGTTTCAAAATGCGACATATTCATCTGTCGATACCGTGAAGGTGAAGACTACAAGATGGCATCCAGAGCTGGCAAGGACGTTGGCAATCTCTCGTGGTTATTCCACCTAATAACGCATAATGCATGGACATCTCCGCTGCGAAGGCTACTTCACTACCCTATTGCACGAGAGGGGATCCCCGGCTTTAATAAATTCAAAATAAGTCTCTCCAATTACGCAGGGGAGGCAAGGATTTACTTGGAGAATCTCATAGCTGCTGCTGGCGCCGAATCGACAAAAACCTTGAAGCAGGAAAATACCCATCTGTTGACCGCTCATAAAAACAGTGAAAAATGCACTGCTGCTAAGGAGTGGAATTTACATATTGTCAATCATCTTTGGCTCGAAGAGAGCTATGCAAAATGGCAGCAACAAAGTGTCACAGACCCTCGATATACCCACTTTCCTCGACGGACAAATTTAAGCGATGTTGTAGGTCAAACACGAATAGACAAATACACCGTTGAGGAGCACTTTTTTCCTCCTGAACCAACTCCGGGTGTGAAGAAGTCGATCACCCTACCACAGAAAGGCAACAATGCTACCTTGAATAGGTCTTCTAGTAACGCCAAGACACCAAAATCAGGCCGCAAAGCTATTAATGAAGGTCCAGAAATGCCAGGTCCCGAGCCTGACAGTACTACAAAGGTGACGAAGAAACTAAAGGAAAAGTCTCTACAAACTCCGGTACCCTCCAGATTTGCCGAACTTGGAAAAGAAAATGAGACACCCTCTACTACTGGAAGCCGGAAATCAAAGGATATTGCGGCTGCTAAATTACATAACCTTGCTCCTGATATATCTTTATATGAAAAGGAATTAAAGCGAGTTGGCGGTGTAATCTATGGAGGCCGAAGGAAGAGTACTGGGGAGCCTGATTCTGCTAGGAAGAGATCCGCTGAACCCGACAGTGCGTCTGGCTCGGAAGATGCCATCGAGACGAAGAGAATAAAGACGTCCAAACCGCCAATAGCAATCCGTTTAGTTATTACGGGATTTAACAGATGGGTTGAGAAGCCCAACATAGAGGACTCGGAGAGAGTAAGCTGACCTTCCAGACAAAGTTTATTATGCTTAAATGAACTAACGGTCTTTCATATAGACTCAACTCAGAGATCTAGGAATTTTGGTTATCCCTGATCCGTCCCGGTGCACTCATTTAGCAGCGCCGTCTATCAAACGAACCCAGAAATTTCTCAATGCTCTAGCACACGCACCCGTTATCATAAACTCCAATTTCATTACAGACTGCCTTGAGAAAAAAGAACTCCTAGATCCCAACGACTATATCCTCAAAGACAAAGCTTCCGAGAAAAAGTACAATTTCACATTAGAAAAGGCAAGGCAGCGAGCAAAGAAAAACGAGCAAAAACTGCTAAGTGGACACACCATTTACTGCGCGGATAAAGTCAATGGTGGAATTGAGGCTTTCCAGGCAATAATTGAGGCGAATGGGGGACAATGCGTGCCATATCGAGGGCGGCCAGGGACAATGATAAGTAGCCGGCGTTTAGCAGCCAATGGCCCTGACCAACCCGAAGCGGATGATGTATATCTGATCAGCGGAACTGACAAGAGCAGTGTCAAGCTGTGGGAGAAGTTCCGGACAATGGCTCGCAATGCCAAACGTGTGCCTAGGGTCGTCAGTTCGGATTGGTTGTTGGATATTGCTTTATCTCAGGAATGGCGGAGTGGAGATTCATACGAACACCCCGACGAAAATACTTCGTAAGGAACATATCCAGAACTAGATGTATACAAAGTTTTAGACCCAAAACCCCGTCTCAGGCGCGTTGAATACTTTTTGCATCCAAAAATCAATCAACAGTAGAAATCTTAGGATATATGTACCTGTTGTGCGTGTGGCCAGCACATATCAAGTGTCTAACCTGCCCGGAAGCTCACAGTGCAAAGCACCTGCTCCTGCTGATGCGATCGTAGGTGTTTGCTGATTACTGATTTGTCTCTGACCTAGAAGAACTTGACGCCCTGTTGGTCTTCACTTCCAAATACTTGGGCTTTGCCTTGCTTGACAAGGACCTGAAGAGATTTTTGCATAACTTCGGGGTCCATCTTATGAAACTCTAGATAATGTGTGAATAACGGAGCGAAAAGGTGAAAGAGTATGGTATAACTTGGGAACGACAATTACATACCCTGGGAAACTGTTGCCTCTCCCTCCATGAGCTCATATAGGGTGAGTACTGTATTTTTCTGGGCCGTTTCGTCAACCTGTATAATTATTAGCATGAGCTTGCACACCGTATCCAGTTCACTTACCCAACTCGCGAGCACAATGGCCCATTCCTCAGGCCGTTTCCACCATATCCAAGCTATTGTCTTCTCACTCCCGATCCATTCTGCACGCTTCCCCCCCGCTGTGCCAGCCATCCAGTCAATAATTATCACAGCATCACCTAGGTTTAGGCCCTTCTTCAGTTCCGCATTATAAAATAAAGGCGAGGATATCATGTCGATCAGCGAAAGCCGATATATGCGGTGGTGTCTGCAATATGATTGAATAAAGGACGACCATTTCTGAAACTGTTTCTCGCGAGTTGTGAGGTTGGGCTGAATGGTGTAAAACGGCGGGAAAGAGTAGTCCCGAGGGAATACAAAGTCGGTACAGTTACTATTCATGCTCCCTGAATTATCTGTGCTCCCGCTATTTGCCATCTTCTCGAAGGAATGAAATAATATATATGCTGGTGATATGAGGTTGAGGCAAGGCACTGGTTGTTGTGAGGTTTCGAACTGATAAGATAAGATTGCGTGGGGCCGAGAAAGCTAAAACAGAGCAAAAATAAAAAAAACCTTCCAGGGGCTCAACAGTACCAACCGCAAACTGCGACTCCAGCAGCAATCATCTTTCAAACAGAAAAAATGGCAGCTTCAGATCAAAGAAAACAACAGCGTGCGGAGCCACGGAAACCATTGGAAGGAAAAACCGACGAAAATGGACAGATAACGCTGCCAAAAAAGAAGCTCTACCGTCAGCGAGCTCACGCAAATCCTTTCTCAGATCACCAGCTGGACTAGTATGTTTGTTGAAGTCTTCTATATTCCCCTTTTCGCTCATTCCAACTATCTCAAAATTGGGCTGCCATGCTAACTGGTTTCAAGTCCGATCAGTCCGGACCATATGGATTGGTCCAAATTGTTTCCCGCATACGTCGACCCTGACCCAGCCGCCGTCAACATTTCGGGAGCCAGGAAGCTGGTTAAAAACGTGGAAATAGCTGATATTGGCTGCGGTTTTGGAGGACTATTGGTAGCGCTGGCGCCACTAATGCCTGACACCCTGATGGTTGGTATGCTGTATTTTCAACCCCTTGATTCTGCCATCAAGCAGCTTGGTTGACCATTGTTAGGCATGGAAATCCGTTCTTCCGTCCTCGAGTATGTGACAGAGCGAATAAGAGCGCTTCGCTCAAGATATCCTCCCCCCGCAGCACCTGATGCGATAGCGGATGCCGCTTCGAAACCAGAAGACGCTCCCGGAGCAGTATCATTACCTTCTACCCAATTGAATGTCCTAGGACAGCCGAATTTCCAAAACATATTTGCCATCCGCTCGAACACAATGAAATTTCTACCAAACTTTTTCTTCCGTCATCAGCTCTCAAAAATATTCATTTGTTTTCCTGACCCTCATTTTAAGGCGAGGAAACACAAAGCAAGGATTGTCTCGACAACACTTAACGCTGAATATGCATATGTACTACGGCCCGGAGGGATGCTATACACGATTACAGATGTGGAGGATTTACATCTATGGATGGTTTCGCATTTTGATGCAAAATCTGCAGATAAAGATCTCAACTCCCATGATATTGCTGAGCTATGGGAACGTGTGAGTGACGAAGAACTTGCAACGGATGAATGTGTTCAGGTGATGCGGGAGGAGACAGAAGAAGGCAAGAAAGTGACAAGAAATAACGGGCAGAAATTTGTGGCAGTTTGGAGAAGAAAGGCGGACCCGGAGTGGCCGTCCTAATCCGCATTCCATTCCACAATAAGGACCCATGTGCTAAAAAGCCCAAAAAAAAAAAAAAAAAAAAAAAAAAAAAAAAAAAAAAAAAAAAAAAAAATGATATTTCTGTCAAGTTATCGCCTACTCTGCTACGCTATGGATCAAACCAAAATACAATTTTCAATGAATAGTCATTCCCCAAAAAAAGTCAAAAGCAAAAAAGAAAAGGAAAAGGAAATCAAACAAGCAAACTGGGGGGATATGCAAAAATGGCTGCAAATGCGAAACTTACGCCTTCAAACGTCTTGACTCACACGGTTCGCAAACCGGTAGCTCAACCGGACCACCTATCTGCCTTCCTCTGGCATTTACTTTGGGCTTACCTTGTCTCACAAAGAAACGCCCATCTGGCCCAAACGACCCCTTGCATTCATCACATCGGAAACACTCATCGTGCCACTGGCCACCAAGTGCAGACACGACCACGTCATCCAATACAGGCTTCTTACAAGCTTTGCATTTGGACGCCGTACGCCGTGAATGACACCGGACACACCATGCGAAGCCCTCTTTTTCAATAAATGGAGTCGTGGGAGTAAATGGGTCACCACACTCTGCGCAGAAGAAATGACCGGCATGCCAGGTTGAGCCACATGCAACGATGACTTCACCTTCAATAGGCGTCTTACAGCTTTTGCAGCGCGGACTGAATAGTTCATGGAAGTCTAGGTGACAATAGAAGCGTGGTTCATCTGGTCCTAAATCCTGGTGAAGATCAGGCTGCGACAGCCGTTCTCGACGCTTCTCTTCTGGTTCCGGGTAAAATGCGACACATTCGAGGGGAGTACGGCAGTGAAAGCAGTTGAAACACTCTGAGTGAAGCCGGTAAGAGCTTGCGGTGACTACACGTCCAGATATTGATAGACCACATACAACACAACTTGCTGTTGGTATCCCGGCCTTGGAAAGGGACTGGTATCTTTCGATTCCTCTTGAACCCGGGCGGTTGTTAGACTGACGATGCCCGGGGTTGGGTAGCTCTCGTTTTTGTTGCGCCTGGCTCGCCTGCTCAATTTCAGATATGGTAGGGCCTAATGGCGAGATACGAATCTCAGGTCCCGTAGGACCTTGATTCTCGATACTAATACTGGGGACTGTCGGAACACTGACATTGACTTCCGGTATGGGAGCCGGGGCGGGAGTGGCGCTGGAGGCTGTGGATTGCGTTGAAGCATCATGTCCACTACCGGCGCAAGGTCCACTTCCCGATGATCCAGCAGGCTCCTCCTGATCTGGCTCTTTCCAATTGGGGTCAAAACTGACAATTGGGCGGCCTGGTCTATCACTGACTGCTGAGGGCATAGGAAGTTTTGTGCTTCGATCCTTCAACTTCATGCTTGTGGCGGCACGAATTTCATCGTCACGAATTTCGATCCCATTCTTAGTCGGAGTGCTTTGTTCATTCTCAGGCTCGGGTGTCTGTTCTCGTGGAGTACAAGTATTTGTAGTGTAAAGGGGGTTCCTGGTCTGAGATGGAGGATTCTTGTGTATGTCAAATCGATTCAGCTTGCCGCCAGTTGACGAACCACTCCATCTGTTTGGAAATGGGCGAGCTCCTCGAAGGACAGAGTTCTGGGGTTTCGTGGTTAAGGCAGAGGTTGTAGCGGTATTCTGAGCTGTGGTGGGCTCTTCCTGGATACTATTATCTTCTGGCTCTTCATAAATTGAATCTTCTGGATTCCTGAATATTCCCTTTGAAGAACCACCACTAACAGATCTCCTTCGGCTTTGATTATCTTCTTTCTTTTTATCAGTGCCCGCTTTAGGTAAGGCAAAGTTGACCCTCCGCAGTGGTCGTGCTATTCCATCAGGTGTTTTATCGGATGTCGGAGGACTCCCGTTTGAACTCTCAGAGGATGATCGGATACTGTCAGTTATGGATTGGCTCCGAGGAGTGTCCCCTACGCGTCCGGTACTGGAGTTCCTCATGTGGGTACCTTTCTCTAGATGTTGCCGTAGCCTGCTTACGGTCTTCAGGTCCGGGTTTCTGTACGCTGAATGAGTGTCCTTTTGTTTAAACCCATGGGTCTGATGCTCCAAAACAAGCTCAGTTGCCTCCTCCTGAGCTGCCTCAAACAATCTGCTCTCATCATCCTGGACGTCCATCTCTTCTAGTGCCGAACGTAGAGATCGGACTTCTTGTCTTTCCATCCATCGCTGGCCACGTTCAATGTACGGTATTGTGGTTGAGGCTGCGGATGACAGGCTGCTCCCACATTGAGACACATTTCTTGAACCGTTAAACACTTCGCATTCGGGGATTGTTGGTGTCCCGCTGGAACTGCTGGTAGGTGTGGACACCTCTGAGGTTGTCCGCCGATGAGAGAGAGCACTGGTAGAACGGGGAATTACGTCCTTGGGGCTTGGCCGAGAATGCACATTATCAGATGGCCGAGTGGAAAACGAAGACGATGGTCTTGCCGGCGTGTCCTTCAAGCTGAGGGAAGCTGCCGGGCCGGATGCCTTAGATGGAAGTGGCCGTGAGCCATTCGGTCGTGGTGGACGTGCTGTTCGAAGATCTCGCAAGTAATTCCCTATTTGTTTATATCAATATCAGGCTAACGGCAGGGCCACCAAATGCCACCTACCCAGCTCCTCATCGTTCATAAACGTAGGCCCCGGAGGAGAGACCTTTCTGGGGCTGCTCTTTAGCTTGACACCGTGCATTGTTTAGCTGTCGTAGCTAATCGTATCGTAGTCGTGCAGAAGCAGACGAAGCCGGGCGTGCCAGCATCGAGCAGCTTCTGTGACCTATTTATATTGCTAGAAGATAGGCAGAGATAAGAAGAGGACGCAGATCAAGGTAGTACACCCAATGGCGAGTTGTATTCCAGGCCGTACGGGGTCAATGTTGTTGCACTAGGCCTCTGGGGGCGCCTCGCCTCACCTTTTCATAAGCGCGAGGTCTGGCTTGTTTTCGTTTCGGCGTATCAACAACCGCCAAGTCAGCCGGTTGCGCGGACAACACATCGCTGACTAAGCGCATTTTTAGCCGAGGCCGCCGCATGAGCTTAAATTCTAGTTTCAACTTCGCGTCTTCTTTTTGCTGCGACTTCGACAATGCTTCGATGCATTTACGGCTGCATCGCGAGTCCACGGCTGGTGGCCGGCTGTGAGTAGTGGCGTTTGCCTTTGGTAGCATCCTGGAAGTGGTTGCTTTGCGTATTCTGCGTGTGACAAGGCAGAATTCTATGCTGTTGACGGTTTGTTTACTGCGCTCTATCGCGAGGGTCTACTCCGTAGACAGTGATGATTATGGCTGACCATCTCCAGTAGAATTGAGACAGTCCTCTCGCGTCATTGAAATATCAGTAAAAATATCAGGACTGTGTGTCATGATCGTACCCCACGAAAGTCGGGTTTCCCACCAAGATCTACAGGTCTGTTCGTTAACATGGTTCTGACATAGCCCTCAGAGACCTCCGTTTATTCTATACAAGCCTGCTTTCACAGTTCTTGCACCTTGTGCAGGTTTCAAGATCATTGAAGGCATATGTGCCAGAAGAGAGCTGCGATATACGGCCTTTAGCAATAGAACGAAATGTCAACAAACCAATCATAAGTTACCTCTTCTGACCAGTCGTATTGAAAACAAATGCTACACCAGCTGCGGCTATTTTATATATTGCGGATGGCACAAAGCCACATGGTATTACAGGAGCTTGGAGCTAGATATCCTCTAATTTGTTTGGTAGTTGTCATGATGCTCTTGATCCCGTCAGGCTGGAACTAGTCGAGATTTGCAGCCAGTAAGATTCGAGACAGGGATGAAAAAGCGACTGAAGGCGCTCGCCCTCTCCGGGCTCTAAACTCATTATCGTTAGTTCACCGTCTGAGAACCAACAATAAAAAACTCCAGCCTCGGCAACCTGATAATTACTGAAGATACAGACTATAGGTGCACAGCTTTGGTTTATCGGGGTTTGGACCGAAAAAAAGAGTATTAGAAGTGGCATGAAACGACTGGTTGGTTCACCAAGCAGACCAATTGCCAGGGGTTGTGGCGTCCAAACCGTTCCCTTCAATCCAGAAATACTTCCAGCATCCATCAAAAATGACGGAACAGCACCACTTGTTACTAGCGATTGATGTTCAAGCAACACCTTATCGTAAATTCTTGGAATAACAGTTACAATGTAGGGCATGTTCAGTCCAGCCAACTCGAACCTCTCAAATGTGTTAATCAGCTTCAATGACTAGCTCGGCCAGTCGGGAGGATGAATACGATAACTGCCCCCACTGTTCCGCTTAGACGGCACTGAAAAGCCATTTTTCGTGCTGTGGCATTGCCGGACAGTCATTCCGTGACGAATAACAAACAAGATATGGCTGCTTTTTATACTGAGGAGATGGCTGCATTTCCGGGAACGGCCTTGTGCCCGTTCAGACAATCAGTTATACGCCTACAGTTACAGCAGCTTCTTTCCTCTGCCTTCTGCCTTAAAGACGAGCTGAGAGAGGGAGAAAGAGCTCTGCCTAGATCAAATATCCTCGGCTAACAGGGTTGCTTAGTTATTCCAAAGCCATTCTTACTTCCCATTTGCTCGAAGATGGGAAGAGATTCAGAAGTACATCACATTAGCGGGAATGCTACACATCAGATAGAAGATGGAACAACTCAGCGAGGAGAGGAGCCAGGCTGCAATTCTATCACCAGGTCAGATGAAGGCCTAAGCGATAAAGGCGCAGAAGACATTTCCCCAGAAGGAGGATACGGCTGGATCTGTGTTGTTTGTGCTTGTCTTATCAACGCCAACACATGGGGCGTGAATAGTGTAAGCTCCGTTTTTTTTTTTTTTTGTTTTATATCCACCAAGATGTGTGCAATACTAATTTATGCACAGTCATACGGTGTCTTCCTCTCATATTATCTAGGAAATGGTATATTCCCAAATACAAGCCCAATTGAATATGCGTTCACCGGCGGCTTGAGCATGTCATGCTGTCTTCTTATCTCCCCCTTGGTTACCCATATGGTACATTTATATGGCAACCGAGCAGTCCTTAACTTTGGCGTCGTTCTCCAGACGCTGTCTTTCATCGGAGCGTCCTTCGCAACACAGAAATGGCACATATTTCTCTCTCAAGGTGTATGCTTTGGTTTTGGAATTGGTGTTATTTTTGTCTCATCAGTGAGCATAATACCCCAGTGGTTCCGGCGCAAACGAAGCATTGCCAATTCTCTCGCAGCTGCTGGCTCTGGTATAGGAGGACTTTCATATTCCCTAGCTGCAGGCTCACTCATTCCTAAAGTTGGACTTGGATGGACCTTTCGTGTCTTGGGACTGTGTTCGTTTGCCATAAACTTGGTCGCCTCCAACCTGATGCGGGACCGGAACAAAGCCATCGGCAGCAAATATCGTGCTTTTCACTTTCCACTGCTTAAACGACCAGAATTTATTCTCCTCCAGGCATGGGGTATGCTTTCTCTGCTGGGCTATGTTGTCATTCTTTTCAGTTTACCCAACTTTGCTCTTTCAATTGGTCTCTCCCAGAAGCAAGGTAGCATTGCTGGTGCTCTACTGAATCTTGGTCAAGCCCTTGGACGCCCTGTTGTCGGACTTGTCAGTGACAGATACGGACGGTTTAATATGGCTGTCTTGTTCACCGTCTTCTGCGGTTTTCTCTGTCTAGCTGTCTGGATACCGTCCTCGAACATGGGCGTGCTCTCCTTCTTTGCTGTCATAGTAGGCACTGTGGCCGGCACTTTTTGGACAACTATCGTTCCAGTGTGTGCAGAAGTAGTTGGTATGCAAGAACTCCCCGGGGGGCTAAGTATTACCTGGGTAGCTATGGTGCCTGCGACCACTGTGGCTGAACCCATTGCTCTTGTTCTTAGGACCGGGTCGGGCTCGACAGGCTCATATCTTTATGCGCAGGTCTTTGCCGGGCTTGTATATGTTGTTGCTGGGCTGTTCTTGCTGGTCGTCCGCGGCTGGAAAATTGGAGATAACGAAAGGATCGAAAGAGCGGCAGCAGCCAATACCCCTGCAACTGTTGACCCTAGTCCAGTTCTCGCAATTATCCCTACTGTTACAATGGGTGATCCTCTCACTGGCTGTGCAACGGTTGAACGAGTGATGAGCCGCCCAGATGACACTAACTGTCTGCCTACCGGCGCAGAGGTGAAAATTTGGTCACCACTACCACTAACCCGACGAATGGTGGCTTGGAAACTGGTCTAAATCTTGAAAACGGAAGAAAAGAGGTACACTGCATATCGGATATTGGTTGTTTTTTAATGCAAGGCTTTTAAGACTTGGGCGTTTATCTATTCTATTTTTTGATGACAAAGTAATTTAATGCCATTATGAATGACCGAATGAATGGCCAATGACTCAGTTGCATCAGTCGTCGTAAAGTGGCGGAGTAATTTGATGAATGATACACTTAAAAAAGATATATCATGCCTTCTCTAGAATCAACACTCGCACTCTCCTTTTGCCTGCTCCACGTCCCTTTTCCTCTTTGACAGAACTAACATTAACCTTGACTTTATCAAATAATTCAACAACCATGCTCTTCGATGTTGGCGTCGCCTTGGTCCCTTCATCTCCCTCATCCCCTTCTTTCTCCCAAGCCTTAAGGGAGTATTGCTCATTGTCAAATTCACTTTCTCTCCTGGCAGCAAGCTGCTTGCTTGCACTGGGATCAAAGACCTTTGCCTGCTGCGCATCCAAAACGAAATCTTCTAGCCGGACAACACCTTCGATGCCAAATCGTGGAATGAATACAACAACGCCGTTATCAAATACGCGCATCACGTAGCCTTCTTCATCCACACCTGGAGCGACTTCAGAGCCGAGACGCTTGGCTTCCATCTCACCCCTGGCCTTTAGCGCTTGGCCAACGTAATATTCTATACTGGCTCGACCAGCAAACTGGGCATTTCGATGCCTATGGTTGATATTCTTGCAAATGTCTTCTAGCTTACTTCGAGTAGTTAATCCTTCGCCAGCAGAAGCTCCTGGTCCCTCATAGCCGATGGCGGCAGCCAACTGTCGATGAACAACAAGATCAGCATATCGTCGAATAGGCGACGTGAAATGGGTATATATTGGCGAAGCAAGTCCATAATGTCTGAATTCGGATTCTGAATGTGCCCCGGCGCAGAAATATTCTGCGGAAGTCATGCATCGCGTAGCTAGGATACGAATGAGAGTGTTGAAAAAAGGATTTCTCTCGTCAATGCATTTATCCAGGGAATTAGCTAGTGCTAGGGAGCTAGACACATCGAGTGTCAGACTGCGCTTTTTCGAAAGCTGGGTTATTAGCTCCTCGAAGTTTGAAGGTGGCGGTGTAGCATGTCTTCGCAAAAGGGCCGTTTGAGGGTACGATTCATAGATCCTGGCTGCTACCGAGATATTGGCGAGAAGCATGAACTCTTCAACGAGGCTGTTTGTATCTAAAAGAGCTTTTGTCTTGACATCTGCAACAGGATCAGAGAGCTCCGAGTCTGTTTCAATGCGGACCTCTGGGGAGGCAAGGTTTAGTGCTCCCGCCTCCATTCTCTTTTGTCGAAGCAATTTTGACAGTCGCAGGAGAGTACGCATACTTGCTGTCAGGTCATCTGTTTTCGACTGATCATCGATACGCAATTGAGCCTGTTCATAACTGAATGCCTCACGGGAAAAGATAACGGACTTGGTAAAACTAGAAGACACAACTTCTGCTTCAGGAGTTATTTCCCACAACACGGAAAATGCGTAACGTTCAACGTGGGGCTTAAGAGAGCAGAGATCAGTTCCAAGTAGCATTGGAAGCATGTCTATTCGCTTGTCTACCAAATAGACCGTTGTTCCTCGCATGCTAGCCTCTGTATCCATGGCATTATTTGGCCGCACAAAGTTGGAGACATCTGCGATATGAACACCGACTTCAAAGTTACCATTTGGTAATGGCCGGGAGTGAAGTGCATCATCAATATCTTGACAACCGGGAGGGTCAATACTGCAAACAAGTAAATCTCTCAAGTCTTTTCTGTCTTTCCATCCAGGGTCTGACATGTCCTTCGGAACCTTCCAATCATGGCCCTCCGGCGGTAGGCAATCCAGAACTGTCTGGGGAAACGGTCTATATTGCACATCATACTCCAACAAAAGTGCCTCTGTCTCAGCGCCCTTGGTTTCTACCTCTCCCAGGGAGCGCACGAAGTGACCCACGGGATATCGAGAATCCCTATCCCAGGCATCTATTGTGACCAGTATTCTCTGCCCCATAAGCTCGTTTGCTTGTCGAGTCCGTATTCTTATCTTAGGCACTCGTTTGTCCATGGGAATGACGAAGACAGTCTGTTGGCGTCGACCGGCAGACGAAGCTTGCGAGCTAGATGACCCATCAATGTGTCCAACGTATTGTCGCCAGTTTCTCTTGATGATACCGACCACCTTTGCGGTAGGCTGCGGGCGGCTTTCAGTTCCCGTCCCATGAGCTTTTCGGACCTCCTCCTGCAGAGCTTTCCTCTCACGCTCTGTCACTACAGCCTCGTTTTCTTCAGCCTCGGGATTATCATCTTTTGTTAAAGCTTCCTCATCAATGATTTTCGAGGAGGGTGTTTTCCACTGATCCTTGGGCAGTACCTCAACAACAACAATATCTCCAGAAATTGCCCTGTTGCTCTTATCTCTTCCTAGAATAAGTAGTGACTTCTCAAAAGCAGGGACATTCACGCTGCCCTCTAGATAGTTGTAGGGAGAAACATTGAATACACCCTGGTGCAAAGTACCAGCTCTTATCAGTGTCATTATCTTTGACATAGAATAATAGGCAGAGTATAACATCTCTCCCTTCTTTGGCTTAGCATCATGAGCCGATCTTGACTCATTGAGCATGTCCAGTAGTCTGTCTGCATCTTCAAGCCCGGATATATATTCTGTCAAGGACAGAGCAACCACACCCTCTTCATCTGCCTTGGCACGGTTTCCCTTGTCATCTGTAATCACTACGATGGCAGGGGCACTTTGTTCCTTCTGGCTATCCCTTGTGACCGCCTGGAGATGCTCTGTGTACCACTTTGCAGCTGTTCTCACAGCCCGATCGTTGCGGTCATTAATACTCTCATCCGCGCCTCTTCTGACATGGGTTTCCAGCCGGAATTCGTTAAAAAACAGGTAGTATCGTTTCTCTTCACTCCTTATCAGGGATATTAGCCGGTTGTATAAAGGTAGAGACTGGTTCTTGAGCTCCTCTAGCACGGTCTGCAAAATGATAACATCATAAAAGGCACTTGTCTGTTCAAAAAGATCCATCGCATTGAGTAGAGCATTCGTGTCAGGAATCAAGTAATGGCCCTTTGGAAACCGCTTTGTACCGGCAGGCCTCTCTGAGAGAACGAAAGGTGTGACTAGGACGCAAAATCAGTCAGCAAATCTGCTATTACCGCGGGTGATAGGAGAATCCTACCAAAGCCATTGGCATCTGTCGGCGCATATGAAAGACATGCGGTGCATAATTTTGAGGAGCATGGAATATCTTGTCTGAGGTAAAGCTCCCGCACTATTTTCTGGACTTTGCCGCTCTTTGTAGAGCGCACAAATATTTTGCTGGAGACATTCGAAGCATGGGGGTTTGAGGAGTGGTTTCTCCGTAGACTCTTCATACTGGATATGTAGATAGGGAGTCTCTGATATCTAATGGTTAACAAGTGCAAGTGACATAAATGTTGCCCGTGGGCAAATAACCACCTAGTATAACCACCCTAGACTGCCGCAATGGGCCAGGTACAGCAGATGTGTAGAAGCTGATTGTCTCCCGCTCTGTGGTTACAATCCACGTCGTTCAATTCGTTAAAATGCTAGGCAAGAGAGCTTCGATAGTTGATAGCCCAATTTTCTTATCGTAGGTCACGTGTTACGGCTTATGCCAGGCCAGCCAATCAAGGGGGACTTAAATATTGCTGTCACTTATCGGGCGTCGAGGGATAATGACGCTTGAATGTGTTAACAGACGGCTAACTCTAGCTATGCGAGTAGGGCAGATTCCATTAGCCTATTTATATAGGAAGAAAGTATCAAAACATTAGAGAGGATAAAGTAGGTATTCAGTTCCCGGCAGAAGAAAGGGTAATGAGACACGATAGTATTTCCCAGAGCAAGGAAAAACCGAAAGATAACAGAAAAGTAGGTAAGTAAAAAAGGATGGGGAGGGGCCATCTAGTTCTGTTCTAAACTCTTGAAGCCATCATTTGGTGTACCGTATTCTCCTCGAGGCCTTTTCTTGCTTCCAACCGTTTCGGTCCCAACCAACTTTGTGCCGACAAACGACCCGCAAATTCCACTATCCTCCGGGGCAAGAAGAAACAGGCATATATACAGCAAGAGCAGTCACAGCAGCAACAATCAATCAACCAATCAATCAATCAACGTCTAGAAGCTGGGCAGGTTCATATCCGGTTTGGAGGGAGGAAATCAATGTTTCTGGACTTTGTCAGGGTCCTCCAGGATACCTTCTTTTTCGAGTCTTCTTCGTGCCTCTTCCAGAGCCCATGTTTGTATCCTAATAATCAATTGATGTTAGTAATGTCGGCTAAAGAGGGAATAAGGTTTGTAAATTGGCATACGAAGTATCTGGCTTGAAGACGTAGGCAATGCCGGCAACGAGGAAGCTTCCAAAGAAACCATAGTAGAAAATAGTCTCCCAGCCTTCCTTGACGTATTTGTGACCTGGCTTGACGCCAAAGAGCCATCCAGTTGGTGGATCATAGTGGCCTCCAGCACCGAGAAGTGACGTCCGGGTTGAGAACCGAGCATGTTGTGGAGTACGGAGCAGGCACCGCGAGCGGACGGGGAGGGTGAGAGCGCGCGCTGACATTGTCGTCGTCTTTGAGTATCCGTATAGTACCGGGTATATGATCTAAACGCGATGCAATAGGCTGCAATCAAGGCTGGACGGGGTGAGCAGCCAGTAGTGGGGAGTAGCTAGTTTAGATGAAGTCGGTTTTTTGACGCCGATTTTTATCCCCGGTTCGGCCCCAATTGAGGAACGCCAGGTAGGGGGCCAGTGCTGTCTTGAAACAGGACAGCTTTTAAGAGACCGTCCACCAGGAGGAGAGGCTGAGATATTGCAGGAACGCCGGCTTGCTTGCGGATCGAAAGTTGATGATAGCAGGCAAAACATCGAAATATCGAAATGACTTGTTGGACGTTGTCGTATATTCGCGCTTTTCCTCTTTGGGAGGTGAGACTTGGCTTTAACTTACGTAATATTAGCGGGGTATGGTTTATCCGGATGATGCTCATGGAGGGAAGGTAACGCGAGGCTGTGAGATTGAGATTTGATGCGGAAGGTGGGCCGATATCAGATCGTTAATCCGAGACGCCCAAAGAGCCAAAAACACAGATAGGGGCAGCAGCAGCAATGGCAATAACAACGACTGAAATGATGCATGAAAGGTCAATCATGAGCATTCTAGTTACTCTACAGGTCATTCCATACTCCCGTGCATCCTGTACATATGCTTTCACTGGTAGAGTAGAACAACAGACTGCTCGCTGCTCCGTAGAAAAGGTGCAGACCACCCGACAGATCTCCGAACCGTTAACGTCATGCATGCGAAGCTCGGTGCAGGGAAGAAGCTCGTGATGAAGAAGCACTGCGCTAGGGACTTCCAGCGCCTAAAACCTTGCCGGTTGGTCTTTTCCTTGCGTCCGTCCGCCGCAGGCGTGTTAAGGCTTCGCTCGTCGCCGGAGAAAAAGAAAAATAGGGGGCGCTTATGATTAGGTAAGCTCATTTATACCTCGGCATCTTTTTTTCTCTTCCTGGAGCTTCCGCTTATCGTGAAATCCCAAAGATTCGCCCAGGAGACGCAGAAGCGTAGCCGGCATCTTGTGATCAAAAGGCGTTGCTCGTCTCTTGTCTTCTAGTTCTTATATCTAGGTCCTCTCTCCCTCGCTCCCTCTTTTCCCAGTTTCTTCTTCCTTTTTGTTCCCCAGCTCCCCGGCTTTTTCCCGTTCCTTTGCTTCACTCTAATTGCTTTCCGAACTCCTTATTATATATATCATCACCATGGTCTCTTCTCCGGATTGGGTGAAGAAGCTGACCCCAGCTGGGCCTCAGGGCTCGGAGCTCCTCAAGCATGAGAGAGGCCAGTCCAATATCTCCGTTGATAAGCTGGCGGAACTGCTGCATACCAAAGAAGTGCTTGAGAGACAGGACCGTATCCTTTCCCTCATTCAGCATGAAGAAGTCTTTGATAAGTCCCAGAACCACTCGCTCGGACGAGTTGAACGGGTTAAGAAAGCGCTTGCACGGGCAAAGCGTCTAGAGCAGCTGAAGAGACAGCATAACTGGTCCGAGGATGACTTTCTCATGGCCAACAACTTGATCAGTGAACCAACTCCATACGGCCTCCATGCATCCATGTTTCTGGTAAGAGGATATTAATTACCTCCAATATGCATATTTACTGCAAATTGCGCCTTTCTAACTGGATGTTTAGGTCACCCTCCGAAATCAAGGCACTCCAGAGCAGCACAAGCTCTTCTTGGAGCCAGCTGAGAGATATGAAATCATTGGATGCTACGCTCAGACTGAGCTCGCCCATGGTTCAAATGTCAGAGGCCTCGAGACCACTGCTACCTGGAATCCAGAGGACAAAACCTTCACTATTCACTCCCCGTCCCTGACTGCGGCAAAGTGGTGGATTGGTTCCCTTGGCAGAACTGCCAACCATGCAGTTGTCATGGCACAACTTTATATCAACGGGAAGAACTACGGCCCTCATCCATTCGTGGTTCAGATTCGAGATCTCAAGACTCATGAGCCACTTGAGAACGTCCACGTTGGTGACATTGGCCCTAAGTTCGGCTACAAGTGAGTATTCCATGGATTCTTACTACTTGAGGTTCCGGTTGACTGATATCTCCCAGCACTATGGACAATGGATTCCTGCTCTTCAACAAAGTCAAGATCCCTCATATCAACATGTTGGCTCGCTTCTCCCGCGTCGACCCCATTACTAACAAATATGTTCGACCCGCCTCCCCATCCCTGATCTACGGCACACTTACTTGGGTCCGATCCACCATCGTCCTTCAATCTGGCGGTGTCCTTGCCCGCGGTGTTACCATTGCTACTAGATACTGCGCTGTCCGAAGACAGTTCCAGGACCGTGATGCCCCTGCTAACGCACCCGGCGAGAATCAGGTGCTCGACTACAAAATGGTACAGATTCGCCTGTTCCCCTTGTTGGCCGCCACCTTCGCCCTGCACTTTAGTGGCCGTGGCATGATGGCGCTTTACAATCACAACCAGGTTATCATGAAGAAATCTGCCAGCAACCAGGCAAGCGGCAGGGGTGCTGGTCCCGAGGAGCTGAACCCTGGTGCTGATCTCTTGGCCGATCTCCATGCTACTTCTTGTGGTCTTAAGGCACTAGCAAGCACCGTTGCTGCTGAAGGGTTGGAAGTTTGCCGTCGTGCTTGTGGTGGTCATGGATACAGCAGCCATAGTGGAATTGGCCCCTGGTACTCTGACTACTTGCCCAACACCACCTGGGAAGGTGACAACTACATGTTGACCCAGCAAGTTGCCCGATATGTGAGTTTCTTTATATGTTCTAAAACAGGTTCAAATAGCTAACACATACATAGCTCCTTAAATCTGCCAGATCCGTCTTTGTAGGCAAACCAGCCAACAACGACACCTGTGCTATCCTTCAATCGTATCTCTCCCGCCGCGAGACCGGTGCCGCTTTCGATATCCTCGAAAACGACGCTGACATCGTTGCTGCATTCGCCTGGAGAGCAGCCTACCTGACCTTTGAGGCCCTTAAGCACCGTGATGTCGAGAAGCGATCCTGGAACAGCCTTCTTGTTGACTTCTGGAGACTCTCCACCGCACACTCTCAGTACCTTGTTGTCAAGAACTTCTACGAAGCTGTTTTCCCATCTGGCTCCTCTGCCGAGGTCGCTGCCTCCCTAGGAATTGACGAGCCAACATTGGATGTCCTTCGAAAGCTTTTCCGCCTTCACTCCCTACACACTCTCGAGCGTGAGTCGGCTGACTTCTTCACCTCCGGAGCTGTCACCACAAGACAGATTATCCTTACCCGCACTAAGGCTGTGATGAGGCTGCTCGACGAAATCCGTCCTCATGCCGTCCGCCTCGTTGATTCGTGGAAGTTCCCTGACTGGCAGCTTGATACCTCCCTCGGCAGATTTGATGGAAAGGTTTACGAGGATTTGTTCCGTCGCGCAAGTGAAGAGAACCCTCTTAACGAGCTAACCTTCGATCCTTACCCAATGAGCAACACTTTGGTAAAGAATGATAAGAGCAAGCTTTGATTGTCTTGCAAGAGTCACGGCTTCAATCTACTTAGTGTTTCTTTTTCCCCTCTCGATTGATATACCTTGTTTATTATGGGCCTGCTGTTGTGTTCAAGTTCGGTTTTTTTTTTTTTTTTTTGTTTGCGGTGGAGCATCTGATTTAGAATCTTCACGATAGACAATCACTTGTCATAGAATCGGGGCGGCTACTATAGATTTGATAGAAGATACGCCCTAGACAGCGTTGTTCTCTCTTTCTCACTTATTACTTCGGATATATCAACTTTATTCTTATCAATTTATATACTCTTATCTTCATTCTCGCCGTGGCAGCATTGGGCATACATTCGTATAAACATAACTTTGAAGAAGAATGAGTGCAAAATGACCAACTTTAAAGACTAACCAAAGAGGAAGCAAATATTATCTATTATGGCAAATTCTTGTTCAGATGCCCACTCATAGCAAAAGGACGCAGATAATCAGGCCTATCACCCACTTATATATCATTGGCGAAAGTCGACTGCCAGAATTGCCCGGCTGGGCTTTACCGATCACTGCGGTGCCAATGTTAGTAGCTGAGGCAGTGCAACTAACTTCTCCGCATTGATATCCATTCGGACAACACCCTCCCCCATCATTTGGTGGACAGCTCATCCATCCATCCGCACATCTCCTGGTAGCCGTAGCAGATGCTGAGTTGGGAGTAGTGTTTACAGGAATCACAACAGTGACTCCATTGCTTTTCACTGTAGTCAAAGATGCAGTTACTGGACAGGAAGTTGTTTCGCAATTTCGTCCTGTTTGGCAACATCCACCGCCGTATACGGCACTGCAGGCATAAAATCCAATAGGGCATAGATCTGGGATGCTGGCAGTAGAAGTTGATGGGTTCGAAGTAGGACGGCCAGGGGGTAAAATTGTCGGCGCTGTTACTGTTGTCGATGGAGGCGGTGGAGGTGGTGGTGCAACAGTCGTATGGCTGATAGTCGATACCTTTGTTATAGTTGATGATGGCAGTGTAACTATTACCGTCATAGTCGTGACCAGCAGACAGCCTTCAGCCACACAGGTATATCCCGGAGTACAGCAGCCACCGCCCAAGTTGGCTGGGCATGTGGTATATCCCTTAGGACAAGAGATGAGTTGGCCTGAGCAGTCCTGACCTCTGGGACAGCAACCGACGTCGCCTAGCCCCGTGTCTTTTACGATTAGGCATACATCTCCCGTTTGACAGCAGCTTTTTGGACGATTTATGGAGGTACATGGTGCACTTCCAGCCGGGCACTCGAAACCTCGCTTTCCAAGAACAGACCGGCCAGCAACTGGTAGCGGATAAGAATGCAAGAAAACCGGTGATCGAGCATTTAGCGAAGTTTTGTCTCTATGATGTTCTGCATCTTCACCAGAAGAAACGATGCTATCGAGATTCCAGAAATGATCAAAGAACTTCTGTCCAGGATCATCCGACATCTTCCGCACTAGAAACGGGTATTCTCCTTCGCCATGGCCACGTTTTGCTGGTATCACTCCACTTGCAGTTGAGCTGTTGTTGCTGTTGAAATCCCGGTCATCAAGGCTGTTTCCAGCCACCGCTTGCACTGGAGGGAATGAAACAAAAAGAACCAAAACAACCAAGAGATGGGATATATCAAGCATATGGCCTAGTATTGATGAACATCTCCGTCTGTGTTGTGTTACGCAGCTGCTTCTTCGCTGCATCTTGTGTGCGCAAATGTGTTTTAATTCAGCTGTACACCGCAAATCGACCGCGGTGCATGCTTTCGTCCCCAGCCCGGCGAAAAGAGGACGTAGGGGAAACAAACAGATAAACGCCACCAAGGTCCAGCTTTTAATTATATTATTTATTTAGCTCGTCAACAAGCTCTAAGGAACCCTTTTATTCGCCGTGGACGTTTTGATGAAACAGCCGTGCGGAGACGGATTGACCCATGTTTAGGATCCCTGAAAAGACAAAGCCCAACTAAAATTGAGAGCTTCGGGTAGCTAGATTGAGTGACGTCAGACCAATCTCAGTATTTACATTCTCTCACCCAAAGTGAACAGTCGAAGATTATGTGCATGACAGCAATTTCTATCAAAGTTGAACAAATGTACATCCAGAAAAGAAGCCAGAGTTGAATAAACAAGGAGAGTTGATCGATCGATTCCCCTTTCGCGGTGGCCAATACGAAAAGGTTATTTAACCAAGCCAGAATTTCCAAAACAAAGCAAGATGTATCGACGAAGCAAGTACAAAATGAAGAGAGCAAACAGTAAACAATGAGATTGGGTATCGGACATGGGGAACAGAATCGTCTCGTAAAGATAACACGTACAATATAATAGACATGCGAGGAACGGATAGGTAGACCATATATAGTCAGTCGGTAGGAGTGTAATAAGAGGGACCAAATAGAAACGGGACAGGTGTAGTTTGATGATTGAGTGGATCAATCATCGGACTAAAGACAAAGCTAGAAAAGACTAAAGTGAAATGCAAACCAAAAAAAAAAAGGAGGAATCCAACGAAATGATAGAACCCCTGGTATAATGGGCGGCGCGGTGTGTCGCTTGCTGGGTGTATGCTATGGGCTAACAAAAGGGCGAGGCGTCGAGGTCAAGCGACGAACGGGCGTAAGGGTGAATGCATGGGTGGATAGGTGGAGGGTGCAGGATGGTTTAGGAGGAGAAGATGGCAGTGAGCCAGGAGGAGCGCTTTTTACCCGATGAAACTGAAGTCGTACAATAGATATATCAGAACATAGCACTGTATATAGAACACACAGAGAGATACTGTCTTGCTTTGTTGTTTTTTCTTTTGTTTATGCAGTTTGATCCGACATACCAGGTGTATCGGATGATCGACGGCCTGAAGAACGTCTATCGGACTGGCTGCCCGTGGAGTCACGTTTGCCACCGGCACGGGCAGCATCATCGTTAGTATCTGGGGCATCTTTGTTCTCTTCGACATCACCGTTGAGCGGTACATGTTGGTCGTCTGCAGAGTTGGAGTCGAGTTGCTCTGGCTCCTGGTTTTCGCCGTTGGCGGCAATCGTCTCTGGATCGACTGGGAGGAGACCCTGCATGCGCTCCCAGACTTCTCTTCGAATGCTCTCTTCTTTCTCCTTGCGGACTCGTTCGAGCTCCTCGAAGCCGCCCGTACTCTTTAGCTTATTGGCGCCCACGAAATTGCTTAGTTCCTTTTGGAACTCGCCGCCTCGCCGGCTCTCTAGTTCTTTCTGGCGTGCCTTTTCGGCTCGCTCAATGGCCTCCAGGCGGGATTCGTGGTTGGGTTGAAGAGCACGAACTTCACCGAGCACACTGTCCTTTGCATCGGCAGGGTCGATGTTCGGGTTAAGAGTCCGTGACACGTTGCGTACGGCAATGTTGTTGGGGTTTGATCCCGAACTTTCAAGAGCTTGTTGTTTGGTAGCCTGCTCAACAAGAGCGAAGGTCTGCGTGGCCTTTTCGAGGTCGTCTTCTAGATCGACGGCGAGATCCTCTTGCATAGTCAGCTGGTCTCGCTCTTCGCAAACGAGTTGGAGTTCTTTCTCCCATATCTTGGTCCAGATGGGTTTCTCGCGTTTCAGGAAGTCTTGCATCTTCTTGAGCTCCTTGGTCACTGCACTGATATCTCGGCCAACGGCCTCAAGCTGGCGTGGTAATGGTCTGACTCCGCGAGTGACCACATCCTTACGCAGGTCTTCGACAAGGTCTTGCAGGTCATCCACACGAGCAACTAGTTTCTCGGATTCATCAGCGAGTTCTTTCTTGCCCGCCTGGACACGTGCGTGGCCGGCGCCAGAGCCACCTTCGAACGATGGGACGACTGCATCTACAGCCGCAGACTTGACCTGTTTTGCCTTGGCTCGGATATTTGCCATGGACGAGGTGATATCCGACGAGAAGGTGGAATAAGTCTGGCGGAGAGAGGCAAGGTCGTCACGCAAGGCTTGGATCTCAGCAGTTTTGCCTCCTGCGCCGCCAGCGGCCGGTCTCGAGCCAGGAAGGGCTGCAGACATGCCACCAGGAGTAGCAAGCCGTGATATCTCCTTTGAGGTTTCTTGCTGGCGGTCAATAAGGCGTTGGATCGAGGTGCCATGTCCGTCAATGACATCCCTGACGCTCTCGACGATGCTTCGAATGCCTCCAACACTCTCGTCAAAATGTTTTCTAACTTCATCCAAAACCTCGACATTAAGCACAAGGACGGATCTATCTTTCACATCCCGCAGGTCTTCGAGTTCATGTCGAATACCAGAGACGGGATCTTGTATATATATCTCGGGCAGGTCTGCGCCGTTGCTATGTGTGTTCCACGCAAATTTCTCGATAAAAGCAAGCTGGAGTCGGGCTATGGTTAGGCCAGAGTAGCCCTCAGGAAGAACATACTTCTTTATTTTACTCTTGTACTGCAGAAACAGGGTGAGATCTTTTGTTGGGGGCGGAGAGTGTTCTGGGGTATAGTCCGGTCTGTGGGACTGTAGAGGTGTAGAAGGAGACGGGAGCGGCTTATCTAGGTGGCTTCGAGGTATTGGAGCATGGCCATCAGCCTTTCTGTGCTCTTGTGGAGGTGACAATGAGTCCTGTTCGGCAATCTGTGGCAGACCTCCCGGCAATGACGAGCCTGGGGCAGATGGACTATCAAACCCTCTTTGGGATCGAAGCTTATCGGTTGGTGTTCTTGCTAAGGGGCTAGACGCCACGGACTCAGCCGCATTTGAATCTAGCTTACTGTGCGCCGCCGCGGCGTCGTGGCTAGCCGGAGATGCAGTTTTATCCAAGGAGGCGCCGGCAAGCCGATTTCTCGACCTTTGGCGGTCGTGCAGGTGGGGCCCTCGTAGACGGACGGCGTTCATGGACTCACGCACATCCTGGCCCCGGTTTGGAATGGGTGAGTTCTGCGCTGGAGGCAGGACCGGGATGCCGCTGGGCGAGCCACCAAGGTGTTTCTGAATCTGATAAGCAGAAAACCTGCGGGAAGCTCGCCTTTCGAGCTCGCCGCTTCTCTGTAGCATGCCGATAGCGTCGTTCTGCTTTGAAGTTGGAGGAAGAGGAGGCGGTGGGTGGGGGAAGTTATTTGCGTTATAAGAGGGAGATTCGGGCCGTTTGGGCTGCTGCTGCTGCTGCTGTGTTTCTGGGTCGCCATGTGGCGGCACGACAGGCATGTTCTGCATTGTGAAGCTCGACAGTGAAGACGAGGTGGTGGCTGACGACTGGACGAGTGACCGTTGGGCCTCCTGCCTGCCTGCTTCCCGCTCAGAAAAGCTGGCCCCTGTAGGACGGTCACCCGGCCAGGGAGAGGGAGACTTGGTACGAGATGAGACGGAAACCTGGTCTTCATCGTAGGGCCCTCCCACCTGACGATGGCTGCCCATGGACCGTTTCTGGGGCGATTGTGTGGCAGTCGAGGAGCTATGTTCTAGACTTTGTTGCTGGGGGGTTCCATCACCGAGTTCAAAGCTCCCGGAGCTTCCTTGCCGCGGAGGTAACGCTTTACCTTCCTTTGCCTGTCGAGACCGTAGCTTTGCCTGTTTCCTCTTGAGACCGTGGAGGAGGTTGATGATGATATCTCGGATCTTGGGCAGGTATCGGTCGAGGCTCTGGGGCGAGGCATCCTGGCTGAGCGTATCCTCGAGGATGGTGCGTAGCAGGTCAGGCACGGGCCCCAGGTCAGCGGTGTCCATACCAATGGCACTGAAGGCCCGGCAGGCCAGGTTGAATTCGTACCCGAGCCGCACGTATACATCAGAGACTTCGGTTTCCTTGGCCTGTTTGCGCGACCACTGCGTCAACATCTCAAGCAGCTGCTTCGTCGCTACTAGAAGATGTGTGACGCTCTTTTCTATCTGCGAGAGCTGCTTGTCGGCCTGCAATATCGGTCAGTCAATTACTCCAACCATTTTACCCCCTGGCATACAGCTGCCCATCTCCCCCAGCCACCGTAAATAAATAACACTACTTACATTGCTTCTGGTCGACGAGGCCTTTGACGCCGACGAGACTCGGGCACCTGGCGCCTGGCTTGCGTCTCCCGAGCCCAGGACAGAGCCAGAAGACGAAGGCGAGGTCTTAAGGTAGTGGCCCTGCTCGGAGCCAGGCGAGCGTCTGGGGGTAGCTCCTCGCGCCATGGCGGACGAGTATGTGTCCATCTTTAGAGGGAGCAAGCAAGGTATATAAACGGACAAGACGATCTGCGAGGGCGTCTATGGCGGATTCATGGGACCATAAAGCGGAGGACTCTCGTGGTGGGCTCTTCAGCGCTGCTGGCGATGCTTGCTGGCGATGCTGGCGGCTGGCAGTGGTGGTGGTGGATGCTGGCAGGGAGATAGATCAGGCCGCAAGACCTAGCCTGACGAAGCGCGGAAAAAGCAACGACCGCAAAAGAAAACAAGTCCAGCGCGAGGCTCCTCAGCTGCTCAGCGCCCGTCCCGACTCGGCTCGTCCGCTTGTCTCTGGCCGTCTTTTCAGCGCTGCTGCTGCTGCTGCTGGCGACGTCGTCGTCGTTGCTGGTCGCTTTTCGCTGCTTTTCGCTTGTTATTTCGAAGTTGACGTCGAAGCCCCGAGTGGTGATTAGCTAATCAGTCACGTGATATGTATCGTGACGGTAATCCAAAGTTACACCCCCCCCCCCCCCAAGTTGTCTCTCCCCTTTGGCCACAGCGGACACTGGCAGGCGGCCTGGCAAGCGCCTGACGGGCAGTAAGCAGCCAGACGAAGGGCCGAAAAGCAGGGCAGCGACGGCGCAGGCAGACAGGCGGCGTGGGAGGGATCTTCGCCTGCTGCTCCGTCTAAAAGGCACCCTGCATGGCCAGCTGGCTGGGAGCTGGGAGAAAGCTGCCAGAGTACGCAGTAACGAAGACGGCGTATGGTACGGTCACGCCGCGCCCAGCCTTTTCCTCGCTCCAACTTTCGACTTCTTTTCTTCTTCGTCTTCAAACACAACCAAAAACCGCAGACGCCAGCACCACCGAACAACCCCCCAGGAAGAGACCGCAGACATCGGACTGCAGACACCGCAGAGACAGAGACTCCTCCACCCTCCCCCTTCCCGCAAGCTGGCCTCGTCGCACCTGACTGAGGCTGTTCTGCTTGCTGCGTCGCCCTGAGACCGCAGGGCCGCCGCTCCTAGTTCGCCAGCGGACAGCACGACGACCTCCTCTATACGCCGGACAGCAGACGGTAGACGAGAGACGGACGGACGACAGAAGACAAGACAGGTGAGAGAGGCCATCGTGTGGGTGTTTCTCCGCCGGCAGGCCGTTGTGCCTTTCACCAGCTGCTGCTTTGCCGCCGGTCGACCCAGCTCGACTGCTGTGCGCTTTGAGGCATGGCGTCCACCGTCAATAATAATGTCAACTCTCTGCCCTCCAACGGAGCTGCTTCCACACCGCTAAACTCCTCTATTTCCCCAAATACAATGGCCTCGAGGGCTGCCGGACGTCCCTCGTCCGGTGTCAAGGGGCCGGATCTTAGTCGTCGTCAGTCTGGGAGTCCCGTCGATGGCGGTCAAAGGTGTGTCTTTTTTTTTATCTTTAATTTTTTTTTTTTTTGGTCATTATTTCAATCGGTATATTGTTATCATTTTCTCTGTTTGATAATGCGTCTCAGCTTGTTTTCGGCTACTATATACCTATTATGTCATTTGCTTGTGATGTGCTACATAATATGTTGACCTGTGCTGACTTTTGATACTAGACGACCCAGCTCGCAGAAAGCTTGGACTCAGAACATCAATCCAACTACACAGAAACCATCAAACTCATATCCACAGCAGAATGGAGCCGCTTCAGGGAGGAAGTCTGTCGTCTCTCCCAGCCCGGCGTCTAAGGAGTCGTCTACTCCGGACCAGCACGCACACGACCGCCTTATCTTCCTTCTCACAGCCGCCATCGTACGTTCTCCTTGGTCAAAATCCACTCCTTACCAAGCTAACAGAACACAGGGAAGCAACGTATCCCTTACCATGAAAGATGGCGAGAAGTTCACTGGAATCTTCTCCGGTTCAACTCTAGAGTCTAATGAAACTATATTAATTCTCAAGATGGCCCGTCGTCCCCTATCAGAGTCAGATTCCGCACAATCGAATGGTGTCAGCCAGAATGAACCTTCATACGTTGGCTCCGGCTCAGATCACCAATTACTGATCGATGTTCAAGATATCACCTGCTTGGATATCCAATCGCTATCCACTTCTGGAGTAGTAGCCAAGGACCAGAATGGTATGTAAAAGGGCCGTTTCTCAAGTTTTATCATTTATATACCCCTTCCATACTAATAACGACACAGGGGCCTCTTCCGGCTTCCGCACAGATACAGATATCTCCGGCAATCAGCCAGGCCGCGAAAGACAGCTGCAACGCTGGGAACCAAGCGGGACTGACGCAACCCTCGACTGGGCCCCAGAAAGCTCAGGAACTGCAGGGTGGGACCAGTTCGAAACTAATGCTCGACTCTTTGGTGCCACATCAAGCTACGATGAAAATATATACACCACTCGCATCGACCGCTCAGATCCGTCCTACAAACGCAAGGAAGCTGAAGCTGCTAGGATTGCCCGTGAGATCGAATCTGCCGATACTGATAACGCTCACATGCGCGAGGAACGAGGCCATGTCCACCAACAAGACGACACTGACGAAGAAGCAAAGTATTCCGGTGTCAGACGTGACGTTGCTCCATTGCCCACCGGACAGCCCAACAAGTATATGCCGCCTGCAAGACGACCTCCAACTGGCCAGCCAACCGTTCCCGGGGCTCCCGTTGACCCTGCTATCATCTCCGCCCAGCTTGCTCGTCCTGACAGCCAGACCAAAACTCCCACTCAGCCCAAGGAGACCTCCGCCAAGGCCGTTACCCAGCAGGAGAAGGAAAAGGAAAAGGCTCCCGCAGCAGCTTCCAAGTCTTCTGAGGGTCTTAAGACTGTTGCAAGCAACGGTGCAATCGAGGCAGAGCGCAAGGCCACCGCGGCTGGCCCTTCTTCTCAGCCGTCTGCCGCCTCATCCACTCCACGCACGGGCGCCGAGAACGCTGCCTCCAATGTTGAAACTGAAGTACTTGATCATTTCCGACGATTTGCTAATGATGAAAAGATGAAACTTCAAGAACGACGACGCAACCAGGCATCGTATGACCGGACGATCAAACTGAACGAACTTATGAAATTTTCCAAGAATTTCAAACTAGGCACACCTGTCCCCAAGGATTTGGTTCCCATTCTTGCCAAAGACCCTAGCAAACAGGAGGAAATTATCGAGCGTGCAAAGAGACAACATGAAGAAAAGAATGCTGCCATGCCAAACAAACCATCCACTGGCACTCCTGCTACATCAGCTGGCTCTACCAACGTTACCATGGAGGCAAAAGCAACTTCTCGTAACTCTGGAAGTTCTCGGAATGAAGGCGGAAACGGTCTCCCTGGAGCAACTCCTGACCGTCAAGGCAGTTATGGGCGTGGTGGACGTCAAGGCTATACCCCCATGGGTCCTCACAGTGGACGCCAGCTTCAGCATCCAGGAGGCCACTCAGGGCGTGGTGGCCCAGGTTTGCTCAGCCACCGGTTAGTCGAGATCCAGCAGCAGCGCAAGGGCGCAAACATGGGCAATTCTCCAGCACCATTGCCCACCCAAGATGCCCGCATGCAACAGCATCAACAACAGCAACCGCCACCACCACCACCAACCGGTTCTGCAGGCGATCAAGGACCAAGCAACGCACCTCCAAAGGCTGCAACTCACACGCCTACATCTTCTTCTGCGTCAACCAAACTCAACGTTCGTGCCATGGAGTTCAAGCCTAACCCAGCCGCAAGCACCTTCACCCCTGCCAGTGCAGCAGGTGGTTCTTCCGCCGCTACTCCTGTGAACACTCGACCTCAGTCTGTCCCAAGAGCTACGAGCCCAGCAGCCTTCTTTGGCTCTAAGAAGCCTCGACCAGCGTCTGAGCGTCCTTTGATCGTTAATGGCTTCAACCCTGTAAAACGCATGAAGAAAGAGGCTACTGACGCCGGGTCCAAGGACTACGCCTTTAACGGAGGCATTCCACCAGCCTACAGAACTGCCCCTACCTGGGATGTCTCCGCCATTAACGAGAAGAAGACGTATGCGGACATGTTTAAACCCCCAGTTGTCGCTGCCTCTGCTTCTCCCCAATCCCGAGCTTTGAATGCTCAAATGCCTCACCAGCCGCAATTGCCCTATCATCTCCAGCATGCAACACACACCATGCCGCCACAAGCTGCACCACCAACTCATCTTATCCCTCCGCAACAGCCTCCTATGCATTACGATGATCACCATCGTATGCAAATGTCTGCATCTTCATCTCAAGTATTTCCATCCCCCCGGCTGCAGCACAGCACCCCCATGGCATACCAGCACTCTGTTGGTCCACACAATCAGATGGCCATGCATGGTGTGCCTCCATACTACCCTCAGCCCGGACATGTGCGCCATTATCCTACCGGACCGCAATT